AGCTCTTCCCCCTGAAGAAAGGTCGGGCCCCCGACGCCATGGCTGTTTTAAACAGCTAATTGTGCGGCACCTGTGCCCACAGCCCGTAGATGGCTGAGAATATCTAACCTATCCTGGCAAAGGCCGGGCAAACGCCTGCAGAGAATCTGGCGCCATGCATTGCATCGGGTACCACGGCGTGCAGAAGCTTCACAATCAGTTTGACAACTGCAGCATAGGAAACCTCAAGGAATAGCTGTAATTACTACCTGTTCAGAATTCTATATTATCAGGTTTTGAAACGGTCTGGCTCTGCGTGCGCACCCGCCTGAAAGCTACTAAGGGACATATTGCCATAATCTGACTCTGTCATAGATAGTTTACAGTTTATTTGCTATTCACAACGACCCTAACACGAAACCCCCAAACCCGAATAGCTCCGTCCGTCCTACGAGGGCTCCACTCGGTTCCAACCGCTCAAGGCCGCATCCCATCGGCTACTACAGGGGCCTTATTGGGCCTTCATAGTTAGAATAGGGTTCCTTGAAAGGGGTTACTATAGGGCTACTATAAGGGCTTAGTTTAGTATAGGGGCCTTCATGATTCGAATAGGGTTTTGGTGCCCACTATACTACAAATATGTAATCGGACCGCCCCAAAACAGTATAGGTAAGCATTAAGGCCTCTATAGTGAGGGTCGGCAGCGTCAAAGATGCCCGTGGGCTTCGGGCCTCTTGTCATTGGCTGAATGCCGCACCCGCTCCGACAGCTGGACTAAATATCGATTAGCACAGCAAGCACGGTATATAGTATACACTGTATTTGGTCTCTACTATATATACATATATAGGTATATATATATATATATACATATAGGTAGATAGATAGATAGATACAGATATACATCTTTTATATATAAATAGAAAACACTACATGGTCTATACTAAACAGCAGTAGCATATTGGCATGGGCTCTTTGCGCGTCCTCGAGGATATCACGGCGATCGCCGAGCCCCTGCTTAGAGGCTCATGGGTGGTTATAAACGGGGTTATAAGTCCCTTAATATGGGCTATATCTAGAGTTATCCTACTTATAAGTAGTAGGGTCATAAGTAGGATAACTACAGTTATAACCCATATTAGGGGACTTATAACCCTACTTATAACTAACCATGAACCTCCAAGTGCCAAAGCCTAAGGCCAAGGCAAACCGGTGAAACGGCACCGCCGTGCAATGCTACATCGTGGTATTTGCCGATGTGCGACATGTGCGCCAAGCTCTAAACTAGTAGTAGTAGTAGTAGTAGTAGTAGTAGTAGTAGTAGTAGTAGTAGTAGTAGTAGTAGTAGTAGTAGTAGTAGTGGTAGATCTTGTCCCAAAGCTGTGGAAAGCTCGGCCCTCTCTGGTATCCGTCCCAGATGCAACCTGCAGGCCTGGGACCACTGCTCGGAGTATCCAGGCCTCTGCTAATGTAGGGACCTTAATAATTAGAATAGGGGTTGTCGGGGTACAATATACTATAACTAAGAATAAAGAACCACCAAAAAAGAATTCGTAATTATTTCGGCCCCTTTAATAATCTGATTCGATTTGCGAAGAGATTGAAGCACTTAAGGTTGCTCGGGCAGGATACATGGGAAACTTCTGCCGTGAACTAGGAGTTCCTTATGACGGGGGTGTGGAACGCCGCATGAGTCTGACCCACACGTCATTTTCTGAGGTGGGTCGGGAACATTTAGGGCGGGATGGTCTGGGTGTGGAATCTACGACAAGTCTTCCCAAGTGACCCCAGCTTGGCGGACATGTGTCTTCATCCGCACTCTGCATGCTAATGCTTTCCACTGTTACCTTCGGCAGGGTGGAAGCTGTGTGAGCAGGGTAGATAAGTTTCAAGCAGACGGACTTGCGTAGATGACATACACGCAGTTCAATGGCTTACAAGTGAAATATTCGCCGCGGAGTTAACAACACAGCACGGACGAGCTCCAATAAGACAAATGCAGTAATGTAGGAACCTGATTAAGAAACCTTGGTTCGTGTTCCTCATATGAATCTTACTATATTTGGGGGTTATAGGCCCAGGGTTTCTTAATCAGGTTCCTACATTATTATGGTACCCAAATAGATCCCTTTTAGTAACCCTTATCGACCCCTTTAAAGGGGCCCTAAAAGCAGCTCAGGGGTCGAACATGACCCCTGTGTTTGGGCTTTACGAACGGACAGCCTGAGCCTTACCTTTGGTTACGGATGATGATATAAATCCTAGGGTTCCTTTAAAGGGATCTATAAGGGTACCTTTAAGGGATCGAAAGGGGGTTTAGGGTTTAGGGATATAAATCCTGCATTACCCATAATGATGATTATACCATAATCCCCATAGTTTAGGGCCCTGAAGGTAATGCAGGATTTATATCATCAACCGTTAGTAGGGAATGGAGGAATGGGGTACAATTATAAACACTGTTATGCCCTACTAACCAAAGGCAAGGAAGCTACAAGAAACAACGCAGAGACACAGATATGCGCAAATACACGGAGACCAGACAGACAAACACAACACACACACACACAAACACACGGACGCACACACACAAGCACAAACCCCCTCACACACCCGCACGCACAAAGAGACACACAGACACATGTGCGTGCATGCATATGTACAATTTCACATTTGTAGCGTCGAAATACGCGTCAATTTTTCCTGCTACAGATGCTCTTTTGGCATGAAAATGGTCCACCTAGTCAGTTGCATATTCTGTCACAGGTCCAGCATATGTACATACACGCTACCTTCATAGACTTCTAGAACTTAGACTCAAACAGGCCCTCTAAATTGCACACATGCATGTGCTGCCCATGTCCTTAAAAGGCCTATTCAAAACACTAACGGGCTATGGCATACATACGTACACACATGCATACAGACAGATAGACACAACGACAGACAGAACATACAGTGCAGGCAATACATACATACAAACATGCAAACCTACAATACATACAATACAATACATACAATACATACAACACATGCAATACATAAAATGCATTATGCAGGCATGCACGCAAGCATACACACATACGCAACCGAACAAAACCTACATAACATGTATGTGCATGTGCAATGCTTCCAGCAATCGGACATGGGCCTCCAAACACTTCAACACCTCTGCTTCTCCGACCGAGAAAACTACCCTGCCGTATGGAAGCTCCAAGAAATAACCAGGCTCAAGATGCATGTACAAGGAGTTGGAGGGACAGGAATGGATCTGGACTCCAGGCAGCAACCCGAACCAGCTGTCGATACTCAGCCTTGCAGCCGAAGCCTCTGAGGCTCTTCACTATACCCCCCTTAGAACCATATTAAAGATAATATGTTTATACTCTCTTGGGTTTTATATGAACAGAAATTAAATTGAGACTATCGTTCACGGGTCGGTCGAACATGGAGTCCAGTCACCAGAAACACGCTAGTTGTGCTGTCCCCCCCAACACAAAATATCTGCAAATGGCAGTGAACCGCGACTAACCTGTCAAAGCACATCCTGCGCAGACCCGTTGCTTATGATGCAAGTTCGGTGCTGAACTGAAGCTACTTGCCCGAACCCTAAGCCCTAAACCCTAAACCTTCCAAGCGCGGACAGCCTCAAGCTCCTATGCCGACCCTTCGTGCCACTCTGCCGGCGATGGCCGTGATGTTTCCTGTCAGCTTGTACATGGGGCTTTGGGTTAGGGTTTAGGGGTTTAGGGTTTAAGGGTTTAGGGTTTTGGGTTTAGGCATTAGGAAGGGTTTAGGGTTTTGGGTTTAGGCATTAGGGCACCATTATATGCTTCTGGTGCTCCTGTTTTCCAGCATAACTTCCTAGAAAACATTATCGCCGAAGGGTGATAATAGCATAAAATGTCCATCAACCTCGTCATCGTGATCATCATCATCATCAGCAGCAGCATCATCATCGTCACCATCATCAATGCCATCCTCAGGAGCATTACATATGTGTCTGCTGGGGGTCCAGTCTGATGTCACGATGGGCTTCCCATATAATGGTGCCCTAAAGCCTAAACCCGAAACCCTGAACCCGTCAACCCCAAACCCTTGAACCCCAAACTCCTAACCCCCCAAAAACTCCGAAACCCGAAAGCTCCTGCTCTTCACCCCCATGCTTCGGAATTGTAAGTAGGGTTAGAACTCGTGTGTTGGCATAATGCTGTAGTTGCCACGAAGAACACCCCCCAAAACCGCCTAAAACGCTGAGAAAGCCCTATAAAGCCTTATAAAACCCCAATCCCTAAACCCTACAAAACCCTACAAAACCCTATAAAGCCCTATACAGCCCTATAGAACCCTAATCCCTAAACCCTACAAACCCCTGTAAAAGCCCTATCAAACCCTAATCCCTACACCCTACAAAACCCTATAAAGCCCTATCAAACCCCTAATCCCTAAACCCTATAAAACCCTATAGAGCCCTCTTTCAAGTCTTAAGGCCCCTCTCGGAAGTTCCCGTTGAGCTACGGGCTTCGATTCGGATGATGGCGTTAACACTCCGGGTGGGTCTTGGGGGTTGAGGGTTTAGGGATTAGGGGGCCTTGGGTTTAGGGTTTAGGGATTAGGGTTTAGGGATTAGGGTTGAGGGTTTAGGGATCAGGGTTGAGGGTTTAGGGTTTAGGGATTAGGGTTTAGGGGTCAGGGTGATAGGGCTGATAGAGCCTTAGAAGTGCTTTCGAGGGGCATTAAGACTTCGAGGTCGGCGAGTGATTTTGTCTCCAATACTCCGAGGCTCTAGGCCTGTTCCTCGTAAGCCCCTAAGCCCCAAGACCCAAGGACCCTAAACCCTAAAAGCTAAACCCTGAACCCTAAACCCTAAAGGCTAAACCCTGAACCCTAAAACCCCGAAACCCTAAACCCTAAAAGCTAAACCCTGAACCCTAAGCCGCTAAACCCTAAAAGCTAAACCCTGAACCCTAAACTCTAAACCACTGAAAACCGAAATCATGATCGAGGCGCCCGGCCCGCAGTCATTGAAGAAGTCCCAGCCGTTGTTTGATGATCTTCATCTCATCTGCCGAATGGATGAAATACCTCCATGGATTAGCTGCTCTATATACACTTTGGGCTTAGGGTTTAAGGCAATGGACTAAGGCAGGCGCCTTAATGATTAGAATAGGGTTTTGGGGTGTATTGTACCATTATGGCCAAAAGGAGCCCTTACATAGGCCCCTATATCAGCTGCTCCTCCTCAGAAACTTTGGCTTCCGCGGTCCTACTGGCAATCTAGGAACTGAAAGTCCTGGGCAGAAGGATCACACTCTAAACCCGTACATGATATTTCCAGTTGTCCATTCCCCAAAGAAGTTGTGAAATCCAGGCTGGATTGTAAACCGCAATCCCTGCACATCAAGCCCTAAACCTTCGCCCCCAATCTTAAAACCTAAACCCCTATGACCTTAATTATAGGTCTTAAGAGTCTCAAGGCCCAACACCCCTTGCCACGGACGGAACCCAGAAACCCTAAGTCCCACACCCCTAAACCCCGAGAACAGACCACGCAGAGAACACTCTCCAAACCACTCGAACCCCATGCAACCCCATACAACTCTACAGAAAGCCCGGTACAACAAAGAACCTCCGCATCAACTCTCCACAAACGGTCTGTACGACCCTGCAAACCTCATGAAACCCTGCATCAGCTAATACGTTAGCGTTGTTCCATTGCTACTACTGCTACTTCTGCTGCCTACTTCCTACTACTACTACTACTACTACTACTACTACTACTACTACTACTACTACTACTACTACTACTACTACTACTACTAGTACTAGTACTACTACTACTACTACTACTACTACTACTACTACTACTACTACTACTACTACTACTACTTCTGCTACTACTGCTACTACGTACTATATATATGTGTGTATTTATATGTATATATAAGCACTCGTATCATGCTTGTTTGCCACTATTCTTGCTATTGCCGCCCACTCCCCCCCTAAACCCTAAACCAACAACCCGATACCCTAAACCCGAACCCATAAGCCGTAAACCCCAAACCCGAATCCCTAAACCGCAAACCCCAAACCCTAACCCCTAAACCCTAACCCCTCCCCTTCCCCCCCCGGTTCTCATCTCCCCAGGGGGCCGTTTCATCTCCCGGGCCACCAGCCTCGGGCTTTAGCACTTTCAGGGCCGGGAACACGGATCTGAGCTCAGTAGTTTAGGGTTCAGGGGATTAGGGGTTTGGGGGTTTAGGGGTTTAGGGGTTTAGGGGTTTAGGGGTTTAGGGTTTAGGGGTTTAGGGTTTAGGGTCTAGGGTTTAGCGGTTTAGGGGATTAGGGGTTTAGGGGTTTAGAGGTTTGGGGGTTTAGGGGTTTGGGGTTTAAGGGTTTTGGTTTAGGGGGTAGTTTGGGGTTTAAAGGGTTCAGGGTTTAGGGATCTAGTTATTTAGGATGGTCTAGGGCTTTGGGCCTTTGCAGGCTTTTGGTGCTTTTCGTGTTTGGGGCTGTTGGTGCTGATCTTTGTGGGGGGGGGGGGGGGGTGCTACAATCTGCATCTTTCTGAAGGTGCCGAGCACTGGGCTTTCTGTGGGGTTCTCTGAGATTCTAAGGGCCCCGTAGTGCCGTGATGTCGGGATCCCCCTGTGCAGCCCTTGATAGCGACGGTGTTGGGTGTGTTGTGCAGAGGAGGCTTTTGGGGCTCTCGAGTTTTGACGCAGAGCTTTATTGATATGGGCTTCTTCGCGGTTTATATGAGCGTACCAATTACACTTTTGGGGAGAGTGAGGTTTCACACGGATTGGACATAAAGTCCGGCGAGTTGTAAGCTTGCAGGCTTTGGCCGAACGGTTTGGAGGGGCCTCTAGTTACCAGATGGAACACGCTTAGAGCCTCGGGCTTGGGGATAAGGGTTTAGGGAAATTGCCAAGGAGCCCCAACCTAAACCCTAAATCCTAAACCCTAAACTAAACCCTCAACCCTAAACCCTAAACTAAACCCTCAACCCTAAACCCTAAACTAAACCCTCAACCCTAAACCCTAAACTAAACCCTAAACCCTAAACCCTAAACCCTAAACTAAACCCTCAACCCTAAACCCTAAACTAAACCCTAAGTGAACCGCAAGTCCGAGCGTCATCAAGTCGGCTGCGCGTGCGGAGCTATTCAGCCTCGGACTCGCGAAGCCTTGAAACCCTGCCACGGTTTAGGGTTTAGGGTTTAGGGTTTAGGGTTTAGGGCTTACCTGGACCCTAAGGAACCTACCTTTTTAGGGTTCCTTAATATGATTTCTTTATATAAGTCCTTAAAAAGGTAGGTTACGCGGGTTTAGGGCTTAGAGCTTAGGCTTTCTTAGGGGGGGTTTAGGGTTTAGGCTTTTTTAGGGGGGGTTTAGGGTTTAGGCCTTTTTGGGGGGTTTAGGGTCTAGGGTTTAAGCTTTTTGGGGGGATTTAGGGTTTAAGCTTTTTTTTTGGGGGGTTTAGGGTTTTGGGTTAGGGTTTAGGGTCTGAGCCCTTAGCTCGAGAACCCTAAACCTACTTGTCGGGTAGCAAGGGGAACTAAAGGCTAACCTTTTTGGGTATGTAGGGATTATATGGGGAATATACTACCCAAAAAAAAGGTTGAAGGTTATCTACTCTACTACTAGGTTAAACCCTGAACTCGGTCTCGGGTTTTGAGCCCTTGGCTCGAGATCCCTAAACCCTAAACTGTAATCTGTAGAACTTAGCGTCGAAGTTTTCAGTCTCTGTCTTGGTCGATTGAAGCTGTTGGGTTCACGGTCTCGAGAAGAATCAATGCCTGGAGCAAGCATGATCTTTCTCAGTATAATTCTTGAGACATGCTTTAAGACATAAAACTTACCCCTAAACCCTAAACCCAACCCCCAAAACCCTAAACCCTGAGCCCTACAGGCCTGCACTGTAGCCCGATGTCAATCCTCCTTTTGCCACAGCTCTGCCGCGGAGCCGGAGTGTGCCCTGTAGGAACTCCTCGAAGTTGATCGTGCCGCTCCCATCCATGTCGAGCACCTTTTGGGGCTAAGGTGTTTACGGGTTAAGGCTTGCCTTTCGGCTCCTATGATTATGTAGTCCAGGGCTTTATCAATCCAAGGGCAAAAGGAGGGACCCTTAATAAGGACCCCTATAGGTATATACCCTTAATATAGCTATTATATGCCCATTCTATAGCTCATTATAGGGTAGGGGTCCCCATTAAGGGCCCCTCCTTTTCCCCTTTGAATCAAGCCCCCGAAGTGGTTTGGGGCTCTTGGCGGTCGAGGGCTCGAGGGCCTTCGGCTGGTTTAGGAGAGCAGGGGTTTCATCTCCGCCCGAAACCCTAAACCTTGGGTACGGCCCCCATAGAGTAACAGTCTATAATGGGGCTACTATTAAGGGCCTTATATTTCTATATTATGAATATTATCCTGCTGTTACTGAATGGGGGCCGTACCCAACCTAAACCCCTAAACCCTAACCCCAAACCCTAAACTTAAGCCCCTAAACCCTAAACCCCAAATCCTCAACCCCAAACTTAAACCCCTAAACCCTAACACCCTAAAGCCCTAAGCCTGAACGTTGAGGATAGTGGGGATTTGGGGCTGTGCGCTCTATGCTGTTGGGTCCAGGGGTCCGAGAAATCGAGGTTCTGCGAAATTCAGCCCGGAGCTTCAATCGGGGTCGGAATGCTTTGGTCCGTGTCCCTGTTCTAGGAATATCCCTCTACCTATGCTAGCATACCAACTTGTACTATGCCCCGCAACCCTACCGAATAATATGAAGGCCACATTAAGGATCCCATATAAAACCACCCATCCTTCATGACAGCAAAGTACCTGCCGCATGTATGGGGCCTGAATAATTCATGTATGGTTTGGGGGTTGCATGTTGGTATAATCTGGTATAGCCATGCAAAATGTAATTACATCAATATAACCATTCCGAAATCCTTCTCTATTAATATTCAGGACGATAGAGAAACATTACTATTCCCTAGGGCTCCAAGTACCTAAATGGTAGGTTACTAACCATATTATATACCCCAGCGACCTACCTGTTTAGGTAACTGGAGCCCTAGGGAATAGTAATTTTACCCTATAACTATTTTGAAAACCTCCTGTACTAGTATAAGGACTCTAGGGAAAATTACTATTGCGTGCTGAAACTTTTGGCTTTCCCCAAGGGTCCAAAGTACCTGATAATCGTATATTCTCCCAAATCCTACCTACACAACTACTATCCTAAAACCGACCTAATTATCGGATCCTTTGGACCCTTGAGGTTTTATCTTGTCAGCAGCGCCTCCAACAGGTACTGCGCCTCAGAGGGATCAACCTGCCAGCGCCAGGGCCAAGGGAAGTTTAGAGTTCAGGGTTTAGGGCCCTTGAAGCTGGGGCTTTTGAGTATCATCAGCTAGAGATCACAGAAGGCACATGTAGCACGAACTGTTGAAACCTCGCCGTTTTGCAGGGACACAGATCTTGAACAGCTCAGGTTCGGGTGATTTTGGGGCTCCTCCAATCCGAAGGCCTCGAAAACTAAAAGGCCTGAGGCCTCGACCGAGGCCTTGATCGAGGGTGATGGGAGGCCTAAAAGGGGGGTTTAAGATTCTTGGGGTAGGGATTATATGAACCCAAGTATGGGAACCCCAATCCCTAGTACACCCCCATAGGCAAAGACCCCTTTTGGCCTCCTATGAGACTGGAACACATCCGAAGCAACGGTAACAAAGCACAGGCAGACAGACAGGCAGAGGTGCAGGATCAGCTTGCAAGCCGAAGCAAAAACCCCTAGGATCCCCCGAGCCCCCCAAACCACAGAACCCAGAAGCAACCCCCAAAAAGGCCACACCCTGTTAAAAAAACAACACCATGCCTCCACGCTCTCTAAGAAGTCGGCGACAGCTGGAGAAGCCGCTTGGTTCTGGAGGTCCTCAGCCCAAACGGCTCAACAAATCAACTCTTTGCCTGAACTTGGGCATTTGGGGTCGAACGTAGGGGCCTTAATAATTAACATATAGGGTTTTGGGGCCCATTACACTATAACTATCATAAGGAACCCCCAGATAGTATTGGTATGTATTTCGGCCCCTATAATGGGGCTTAGCACCTCCAGGGTTGGAGCTTTCGGTATGACGGGGCTTACACTTGTAGTAAAGAGAACTAAAATAGAAGCCAGAAAGTCGGAACATCACTATCCTCATGCCCTTCAGGTAATGTATAGGGGATCCCAGCACTAATCGTCCTGAATGCATGTTTCAACTTTCTGGGAATCTCCTTCATTCAAAGGTTGTGAGGCTTGCGGGAGCCAGATTTCGACAGTGTGATACCAAGGCAATGCACTTCTCAGTCATCAGCTTCTTCTTTAAACTATCAGCGAGCCAAGAGGAAGTATCATCATCGATATACCCCGCTTCACTGGCTGTATCGGATACTTCGGGTGCAAAGTCTGATATGACAATGAGTAGCAGCTGCACTCAAAACCACGACCAACTCTTCCGTACAGAGCTGACAAGTTTGAAACCAGGAACCCCCATCCGAAAGCCCGAAACCATCCTAAACCCAAGGAAGCCCTAAAGCCCTACTTGGAGGTTCATGGGTAGTTATAAGTGGGGTTATAAGTCCCTTAATGTGGGTTATACCTATTATAGTTATCCTACTTATAACCCCACTTATAACTAACCATGAACCTCCAAGTAAAGACTGAACAAACGGTTGCAAGGGGCATGGAGAGAGATGGTGCCTGTGTGGTCCCAGTCCATCTCAGAGAAGACGTGCCTCGCACGAAGGATCCTGAGGCGTTTGAGTAAAACTGTTAGGGCTTGAGGGTTTGGGGTTTAAGGTAAAAAAACTGTTCGGGTTTAGGGTCTAGTGTCATTGAGCTTTTCGGATCTCAAGGGGTGCTGCCGTCATTCGTGATGCTGCTTCTGTGTTCCTGTTGGTGAGGACGACGACAGCTCGGAAGACCACCATGATGGTGATGGTGCAAGATGGTAGCCATGTTGACGGTACTGCTGATGGGCCAGTATGGGCTCACTAACTGGTAATACAGGTCCTGCCGCCCTTGCCTTCAACACCATGCTCGAAAGTGCACGGCCACCCGACGAGCTGGGCAACACAACCCATCTCCGGATGTCAGCCGCTGAATGGCTTGGAGAGATATCGAGCTTTCAGCGGAAAGCTGCCATAGCGTCATGACCTCTCCCATAACTGCCATATAGGCTTTCGAAACCGAATAGGAACATAACGGTTGAAACCCAAAGCTCTTGCTGCGCTCAGCTTTCAACTTCAACCCCAAGTGCTAAAGTCTTTCACAACTTACAAACTCCAACCGGCATCTATTAACTAGGCTGCCCAGCAACCTAGGAGTAAAAAGGGCTCCCTTTTTGGTATTGGATAACTTAATAAGGAACCTAGGACTACAAAAGCATAAACCCCGATGTACATGAATTTCCCAGACTACTACACCCGCTTTGGAAACCTAACAAGAAGCCAGAACCCTGAAACTCGAAAGCCTCAGATGCCTAACACATCCCTACCCTCGGATGCCTTAAAGCAACGCAGAAGCCGTAAAACACCCATTGCACATCCCCTCAAACACCCTGAATAAGCCCTACACCCAACCAGATGCATGCGAAGGTGCTGTGAGCGGATCTTCAATTTCGAGGCTTGCCTGCTCACCGTCTCCACGAAAGTTCCTGCATTTAGCGTTTAAGGATTCAGGGTTTGTATTCAGGAACTAGGGCTTAGGGTTGATAGGGATAGGATAGGGTTTAAGTCTAAGTGTTATCCGAAAGTTAAGTTCTCCCAGAAACACCTCCATCCGCACTGCGTCCGCGTAGCTTCTGCGCTCTGTTGCGCGCGAGGCAAAACCTCAAAAAAACCAACCCAAAAACAAGACCACCGCAGCCTACTTCAGGCTCTGAAGCATCCACGCAAGTTGCAATAGGTCCTTTCACCAGATTATAATTAGAGCTACGCCCCAGGGGATGTAATCAATCCGTAAGAACTCCCTATCGCAACTCTTGGGCGCTTTCGCGTACTTTCTGCGTGCGAGGGTGCTGCATTCGGGGTTGCGGTTCATCGCTTCGGGTTGTTTAGGGCATTTTGCTTTGTTTGGCGGTCTGTGGGTTGCTCAGGGTTCCCCAAAGGCTCCATGTACCCATATAGTAGGTACTTAGGCCTTACATATGTGTACATGGAGCCTTTCGGTTCTAGGTTCAGAGATTCATGCTGTTTGGGGTTTCAGGGCTGAGGGTCTAGGCAACAAGCCTCAGTGCACGCAGGGATTTGGCACCGATTCCCGTTTACGGCTCTTGGTGGCTGAGGCTTGCAGAACTGGTGATCCAGCATAAAGAAGACCCCGCCCTCAAGTCGACAACCCTAAACCGTATTCCCTAAAGCCGTGGTGAAGGCCCCGAACCCTTACAGACAAGTTATAGATCCCTTCCGTTGACCCTTGCAATACCTGAAGACCCTTGCAAGACCTGAAAGCGATGTCAGTCTAAAATAATTAGAATAGGGTTCCTTGAATTCCTTGAAAGGGCTCTATCAGGGATACTATAAGGGTACTATAAGGTAAGGGCCTTAACCCTAAACCCTAACTCCGGAGCCTGTGATGACGTTCATGAGAGCCAGGTAACCTCGGATCCAAGAGTCTCCCAGGGCTTTGGGATATAAAAAGGCTACCTCTGCTCCCCTACAGGGGTGCCAAGAGAGCCCAAGACGTACCTTAAATAATAAGGGGATTCATATTATGACTTAAGCTCTATTCCTTAATTAAGGGGTACTGGGCTTTAGTCCAAGTTCATGCAGCTTAGGGATGCGGGTTTCACATCACCTCAAGAGGAACATGACTGTCTGCTGCTTAGTAGGGAATGGGGGGAAGGGATTATGGGGACTATCATTGGGGATCATATAGGCGCCACTATAATATGGGGACTACTATAAGGATCCGTTCCCCCTTCCCCACTAAGGACCAGACAGATGAGTACCATGAGGGTGTGAAAGAGGTCACCACTTGGAGGGTCGGGGGACTTAGAAAGTAGGTAGTAAGTAGACTTCTAAGTACCCCCAAAAGGGACCCTCATTGGGGTACTGGTACTTATAAGTCCTCAAAATAACCAGTTACTAAGTGCCCCGACCCTCCACGCAAGCCATAACAACGACTGCCGGACTGCCGGCCCCCAAACAAAATCAGCCTAAGTCCGGAACACTTTAAGGACCCCAATCACACTGTTTAGGGTTTCAGGGTTCCCAAGCAACCCCCAAGCCCTAGCAGAAGAGGGTGTTTTCAAAGGCGAAGAAAGGTTCCAAAACCTGCTATACAACCTCCCAGGCCCTTTCAACCCGCTAGCTCAGAATCCTTAAGAATGTCGGCCCCAACTCCTGATCCTGACCCGAGAGCAGACATCCATCAACCCAAAACCCTGCCCCGAATCCCCACATCCTACTGTACATACAATGTATACAACTCTTGTATCTCTCTAGGCATATCATATTCTTGCATATTTTACTTTGTAACTAACCCATAGGCCCCATAGTAGTTTCGTTTTGAAGTTCATGTCTAGAATCTTACAAAGTAATCCGAAAAAGGAATTACTATGGGGCTGACAAGGAGCAGAAGGCCATGTACACCACGAAGAGGGCCCCGAAACCTTCGGAGACGTAGACGCTGAGCGGCTCGAGGACATCGCCCCAGTCCACTCCTGCCCAGTGAAGCTAAGGATATCTAGGGTTTCGGTGTCAGGGTGTAGGGTTACGGTTTAGGGTTAGGGTTTAGGGCTTTGGGGGGCAAGGGGCTGGGGATGTAAGGGTTGAGAGTCTATTGTAGGATTGAGGGCATCTCGCCGCATGGCAGCTGTTTTATTGTCATGTATTGTCATGAAGGACTGCCCTGCAACATAATCAAGGGGCCTTACCAATTAGAATAGGGTTTTGGGGCCAATTATACTATGACTTTCATTGATATGGAGCACCAAAAATAGTATAGGTAATTATTTAGGCCCCTATAGTACCCACCAGGCAAGCACATACATCTCGGTGGTTGTCCAAATTATGGTCCCTTCTTAAGTATCCTAAATATTAGGCCATACTATATTAGGGACCCAGAAAGGGACCCTGATTCTGACAACTACCCACATACATCTAAGGTGCTTTGTTCCCGACACCACCAGCCCCGAGGTGGTGTGTCCTTCCCAGTCCCCGGCTCGCCCGTATCAAGCCCAGACTTGGAGGTTCATGGGGAGTTATAAGGGTTTCTTTAAGGGTCCCTTTAAAGGGATCTATAGGGCCTCTATAAGGGTATACCATGGACTCACTTCTTCAACCACCGGGCCCCAAAAAGTTCAAGCTTTCTCAGACAAAGCTAACAAATGGGGCCAGAAAGTCTAAAGTTCCCCCGTTCGCTATCTAAGTAGAGTCATACCCGGGCGAAAATGCTGAAATCCGCGAGAAGGAGCCTGACATCTTAACGCTAAAGCAAAGGACTTCAAAGACCATGTGTGAGTTTCACAGGAATTTGGGGTACCTTATTTTGGGGTCCTTATAGTAAGGATCCTACTATTTAGGGTACTATATTATGGTCCCCTATTTTCGGAAACTCCCCTGTCAACCCTCCCTAAACCTCAACTTCAATCCCGCTTTGTGGCCTCCTGTTAGACCTTTGAAAACAGAGAGCATACCTGGGCATGAGAGTGGACCCTCCTCTGTGTTGGGGGGTTAAGGCTTAGGGGTTGGGGTTCGGGGGTGTTAGAGCATAGAGATTTTGGATTTAGGTGTTAGGTCTCAGTGTTGCGCGGGCGAGTGTAGGCTATCCTGAGCCCCAAAGCGGCGGGCCGACACATGATGGAATCCTTCTTTAACGCTAGTCCCGCACCACTCTAGACTTCTCAAAGCTGCTCTCAAGTATTGACACGTGTTGAAGTTGAAAAACCCCCAGAACCAAAAGAATCCAAGGGTTCAAACCTCGAAGCAGCTTTTGACTCTTCAAACGCGAGGACGCCCAAAGGGTCCAGACCGAGACCCCCTCCTAAGGAGCCTACCTCTTCAGGGTTCCCGAATATGATTTCTTTATATAAGCCCTTAAAAAGGTAGGCTACTTGTGTCAAGGTAAACTTTACCTGTACCCGAAAAGAACTACCTTCTCAGGGTTCCTTATAATGGGTTTTTATATGAAGTTCCTTAAAACGGTAGGGCTTTTCGGCTACAGGTAAACCCTGAACCATAAATCCTAAACCCTAAAACCATCAGCCTTAAACGCTAAACCTGAAACCCGAAACCCTATTCAGTAGCTTAAGCTGGGCCCCATTCTACCATAAATATATTAAGGAACCCCAAATAGTAGTGGTAACTATTTAGGCCGCCCTATATCATAGAGCCCTTATAGTCCCCTATAGTAACCCTCATGCACAGCCCTTTAACCCAGCTCCTAAGGACGAGACTACATCCTACGATCATTGCCTCGGCCAGCCCGGGCAAGAGACATAGGGGCCGCAATAATAGTTATGAGTTCTCCTGGTGGAGATTATGCTGTAGTCACCGGTGTAGGATTTAGGGTTTAGGGTTTTGTTCGATATTCTACTATAATCACCGGTTTAGGATTTTGGGCTCAGGGTTTAGGGGTGCCAAAGTCATATTTGGGGCTATAAGGGAACTCTATTGATTAATGCTTGTTCGGACCCCCCATTTTTGGCCTTAGCATGATTTGGCCTCGTGTTTCCAACGAGTCAACCCTGATTGTAGGTCTGGGCAGATGCAAACAAAACCCTGAAACCCGAAACCTCAATCGGTTTAGGGTCTAGGGTTATCCCGACGCCCACGAACCTTGAAGCCGAAAACAGCAAACCGCACCCCCCCCCTCTTAACAAAAAACAGGCCCTGAAACACCAGCACTCAAATCCAAAAGCACAAAGTTCACACGTAAAGGTTCACGGTTAGTTAAACCGTGGTAATATAAGTGCAGCTATGAGTGTAGTCACCAGAAAAGTAATGCGACTCACCATTACGAAGTCCCCTGACCCTGAAACCTCAAAACCTATACCAGTTTGCCGGAAGGCTCCTTCAGCCGTAAACCCAGGCAGATTCGATGTGTGGGGTGAAAAGAGCAAAAAGCCCACGCAGCTCTACAACCAGAACACCGCGACTAAAACCCGAAATCCCAAACTCTACAACCTGAAAACGGAAACAACCGTCAAGCTCGAACGACACCAATAGATCGCCGCTCAAGTCTAGCAGGCAAAGCCTCTGAAAACCCTTAGCAGCCAAGAGTCTGGTCGGTAGAGAGCCCCAAAATCCAGCCAAGTTCTCACGGATCCGGATGCCATCGTAATCCTCCGTGTCCGGCATCCTCATGAGGTTTTACAGCTCTGGCGAGAGTCGTGGGCTCAGGGTTCTGGGATTTTTGGGGGTCGTGTTGGAGCATTCGCCGGTTTAGGGCTTTGGGGCTACTTGGGGTTTTCATGGTTAGGTTTACGTAGGGTTATAAGTAGGATAACGACAGTTATAACCCATATTCAGGGACCTATAACCCCATTTATAACTACCCGTGAACCTCCAAGTAGGGCTTTAGGATTTGATGGGGCGCAAAGGCGCGTCCGTGGAAGCCACGACTCGATCCAACAATGTCAACGTACACAAATGCTCACAACCACGACGATGTTAATCAAAACGATTACGAAGCAACGGCCCGAGTTGTTTTTGGGAGGGGGGTTACCTCGGAGTGCTGTCGAGATTTGTCTGAATCGTCAGTTGTGAGCTTGTCTCGAAGACTCGCTGATGCTTAGCAGGGAATGGGGTAATGGAGCCCTATAGCAGTAGGCCCCATATAATCCCCAATCATAGTATCTATATTCCATTCCCCCATTCCCTACTAAGAACCAGACAGAAGACAGACAACTGCGGATGTGATCTGACGTGTGTGTGTGTGTGTGTGCGTGTCTGTCTGTGTCTGTCTGTGTCTGTGTGTCTGTGTGTCTGTGTGTCTGTGTGTCTGTGTGTCTGCGTGTCTGTGTGTCTGTGTGTCTGTGTGTCTGCGTGTCTGTGTGTCTGTGTGTCTGTGTGTCGGTGTGTCTGTGTGTCTGTGTGTGTCTGTGTGTGTCTGTGTGTGTGTGTCTGCGTGTGTCTGTGTGTGTGTGTGTTTGTGTGTGTGTGTGTGTGTGTGTGCAGGCACTTGGCTCGATTGGGTGACCATGTTGCAAGGTTCCTTTCAAGGGCTCTATATAAGGGTTACTATAAGGGATGCTATAAGGAGAGTTTCATTTGCGTGGGATCAAGCTGGTTGACAGGGCAGGTGCGGAAGCACAAGCCACAACGAGATCGATAAAGCTCGCGGTTTTCTTAGCTCGGCTGAGATGATGAAAGCATGTACTATCGAGCTCCTAACAAATTAGAATAGGGCTTTGGGGTCGAATATACTATAATTATTAAAGGCCCCTATATTTACTCACAGTCTGTCCGTCGATAACCTTAAAGGAATCACGAGCAGTCGTGAGGAAGCGGGACCGGCATGGGGCTTCGGAACTCAGTCTCCAACAGCGCAGCCCTGCGTTTCATGGTCGGTATCTGGGGTCTCGACTGCGAAACCTTCAACTGAAGCAACTTCAAGATCATCAACCCTGCAGCCTCACGCTACAAGCAGTGTATGTATGCATGTATGCATGTATGTGTATATATATATATATATATATTTATTATTACTATTATTATATATATATTATGTATATATGTATATATTCATACATACATACCTATCTATCTAAAAAATGGAGGGCTCCTACTTCCTGGGCCCCTGGCGGGTTCTCCAGCCGGAACACGTACACTGCCTGCGTCACGTAGATTGCCATGACCTCATCTTGTCAATGACGCGGGGGCGTCTCTGCCTTCGGGAGATCTTCAATCTTGGGTAATAAGGGTTTTAGGGTTTCAGCATGACTAGCATGACTTTACACACACTGTATGTGTACGTGCTGAGGTAGCTTGGCATGCAACTCTTTGGTTGTGTCATGCATGCGTGCATGTGTGTACATGGCAGGTGTGTAGCTGGATCTGTATGTGTAGTTATGTTGATTCCGTATGCATGCAGAATAGATGCGCAACACCCTTGACTCTAAGTATAAGTATACGTCTATATTTACAACTACCTATGCACTACACTCCCCTGCGTCTAGATATAGGATCTACTGCACCACATCATACACGCATGTTTCAATGCCTATTGCTGTTGTCGGTCGATTCCTCTGTCACAAGTTATGTCATCCTCTGGCTGTTGCTATCGTCGATCCATCCTGCCAAGTGCAAATACCATGAACAGTGTTGTCTTGTTAGCTCCGGCTCGTCGACTTTATCTTGCTCCACATAGTGAAGCTGCTAGTGTCTCTAAGACTCTAAGGGAGACGTGTGAGCAAGCCGTTCCATGTCTTATATAAGTCTCGGGTAGCTTAGCAGCTCAACACAGGAGCCTGTTTGAAAGCAGGCTTCGCTTTGCAACCATCAACAAGCATTTGTGCGGAGCACTGAGGCGCATGTAAGCTCCGCACGTAGATCGTCATCACCAGCAAGGAAAGCGCCCACATAAATGTCCGTAAGGAAAGAAGAAGACAACTTACCTTCGGCCAGCAATGCGCTTCTGTCTCTTGTAGAGACTCACAGCAGGCTTCAACACCAGTCGGGGCATGTAATATAGGGGCCTTCATAGTCAGAATAGGGGTTTTGGGGCCCGTTATATTTTGACTATAAAGAACCCCTAAAATGATATAGGTAATTATTTGAGCCCCTATATAACCCCTGAAAAGACATAGATAATTACTTAGACCCCTATGGTAGGATTGCAGTGGGTTTGGGCATGTTGATACATTGTGATGCCATCGGTCTCATCATGGAGTCCAAAGGGGGAGGCTTCCGAAGTCAGGGTTCTATGCCTGTCTTTCCATTTGGAGTGGCCCTCACTCCGAAACATTGATATAGGGGCCTTAGTTTCATTAGAATACGATTTTGGGGTATAATGTTCTATAGTTCCAATAAGGACCCCCCCCAAAAAAAAAAAAAAAAAAAAAAAAACTGTATAGGTAGTTATTGAGGCCCCTATAATCACCTTGACCTTGGCCAGTCCAAAAGCCCAAAAATCCGGCCAAGGCGCCACAAGCTGGAGCTCGTCAGCATAGCGGACGGCACGTATCAGGCGCATGACCTCTTCTTGGAGGTTCATGGGTAGTTATAAGTGGGGTTATAAGTCCCTTAATATGGGTCATAACTAAAGTTATCCTAGTTATAACCCTACTTATAACAACCCGTGAACCTCCAAGTTCTGTCTGGTTCTTAGTAGGGAAGGGGGGAATGGATTATAGGGGCTACAAAAAGGGACCCTTAAGGGACTACTGTAAGGAACATGACTGTCCGGTTCTTAGTAGGGAAAGGGGGAATGGATTATGGAGACCACTATTGGGGGATTATATAGGGACTACAATAATATGGAGACTACTATAAGGGACCCTTAAGGGACTATCACAGGGATCCATTCCCCCATGCCCTACTAAGCACCAAGGAGTGTTCAAGGCCCGGTCGCTCTGCGCACAAACGGAGATGCAAGACCCCAGAGAGCCCAATACCCCTTGATTAAGGAATATAGCTTAAATCATAAAATGAATCTCCTAATAATTTGCGGTATATTCCTTGATTAAGGGGTATTGGGCTCTCTGGGACATACACGGTTGGCTTCGAGGAATGATGCTACATTACTGCTGCTGCTGCTGCCTCATAGAGTTTCGGCGCTAGGGTTTTACGGTATTGGCAGTATAGGGTGTGGGGTGTACTTGGAGGCCCTTTTGACTTAGTAAGTCTACTTAGTATCCCATAGAAACCCCATTATAATCCCCATAACCCACCTTACTAACCCTACTTACTAAGTCAAAAGGGCCTCCAAGTAGGGCTACGTACCTGGGTTGAGTGCCTTGGGTTGGACATTCAGCGGATGTCGGGATTGTTGGCATGACCTTCCAAGCCTTAAGGATGTGGGATGGAAGTGGATGTCAAACCACTCAAGGCATCGAGATCCCTAAACCCTAAACGATAAACCCTAATCCGAACCACCACTGGCAAATACAGTCTCCCAGTAAAACCGATGCACTGCAAGCCTTCACCCCTACTTTGAGGTTCATGGGTAGTTATAAGTGGAGCTATGCGTCCACTCATATGGGTTATAACGGGTTTAACTACAGTTACCCGACTTATAACCCTACCGATAACAAACCATGAACCTCCAAGTAAACCCTATCTGCCCCAAAGGCCGTAATCCAATGAAGGCTCTCCAAGGCCTGAACCCAAAACCCAAAACCCGCCAAAACCCTAAACCCTAAACCCTAAACCCCAAACCCAAAACCAAATCCTATAGTCCTACAAGATCCTTCGCCAGAAATCGCATGAAAATCGAGCCTGGTGGAATCCTCATAAAGCCCCCCCCCCATGGAGCAAAAATAACATCCGTTATGGAACCCTTGCGGATTTTGCTTATAAACCCTTCCAAAACTTCCAGAAAGCACAATCTCCGGGCTTTGCGATGCTCTGGCGCTACGATTTGGCGGGAATAGGGATTACGGGTTTAGGGCTTGGCAGGATTAGGGCTTAAGGTTTAGGGAAACACAGTGAGACTCTTCGTCATCCCCCTGGTTTAGATCCGACAGCCTTTGGGACAAAAGCGAGAACTCAACAAAGGCCCATGCCTTGACGCCGCGGAGGATGCGCATGACTCCTCAATGCATGCATGATCTTCGCGGGACGATGTTTGCCAGAAAACCTGAAACCACAACCCCTAAACCTAATGCAGCCTTATCCAAACCCACAAGCATAAACCCCAAAGCCTAATCCCTAGTAATAATACAGGGGCCTCAATAACAGGGCTTGGGGGCACATTATACTGTAATTACAATAAGGAACCCCCCAAAATAGAATAGGTTGGTTAATTATTACTAAGGCCCCTACAGTAGATGACCTGTGCAGGCAGGCCGCCTGGGGGTTTCAGGCTTCATGCGTTCAGTGTCGAGGGATGTCTTGGGTTCAGGGCTTTCGGGGTTATAGGGTCTAGGGATTAGCGGGTGAGGGTATAGGGGTCTATAGGGTCTGGGGTCAGGGTTTAGGGGTTTAGGTTTTTGGGATTTTGGGTTTAGGGTCTAGGGATTGGCGGCTGAGGGTTTAGTGTTCTGAGGGGCGACTTGGGTGCTGTAACCTGGGTCCGAAAGCTCTTCGGACCCTAAGAGATGATATAATTGACTTAATCGCAGACCATCAGGCCTGATATCCTCAATGTTCCCATGCCGCAGAAGTAAACTCGTGGAAGCCCGGCTAAAGATGTGGGGCCTCCAAGAAGGCCTATTCTCCTCAACCCACGTACCTCCCCTTTCAAGAACAAGACTCGTTGCCCAAACCCCTTAAGAATCCCCAAAGGCCTAAACCGAAAGCCTAAACCTTATAAACCCTAAGTTCTAAACCCGAAGCCTAACCTTATTAACCCTGAACCCCACAACGAGCCCTAGAAGTAACCCTCAGAGGGCCCGAAAGCCAAGGGTCGCATCACGCTGCTCTGCGCCATCTCCAGATCGCTGGAGGAAGCCTAAGTTAGGATTAGGGTTTAGGGGTTCTGAGGGTTTAGGGAGTTTAGGGGGGGTTGGGGGGTTTAGGGGATTTAGGGGTTCAGGGATTTAGGGAGTAGACGAGGTTAAGGGTAGGGTTTAGGGGTTTGGGGCTTTAGCTCTTCCACAGGAGCTAGGACCCGTTTAAGAGAGGCATAAGTAGGGTTAGAAGGGTCACCGTTAAGCGGTCCCTAAACCCTAAACCCTAAACCCTAAACCCTAAACCCTAAACCCTTGTACTACCGAGGATAGGTGGGAGCTCTTCCTGGCTTACTTCAGGGTTCAGGGTTTTGGCACTTCAGGGTGCAGGGTGTGGGGTCTAGGGTTTAAAGGTCTTAGCACTTTAGGGTTTCAGGGGATCGGGGTTTCAGGGGATCGGGGTTTTAGGGGATCGGGGTTTTAGTTCATTTTTTGCTCGCATCTGCTACGACTGCCGGTAGCTGCCTTGATCCCGGAATCGGGAGAACCTTTGGTTAATAGGGCCTTCCCAACTAGTCACATTTACCCGCCTCATTGAACTTGCCAATGTCTGCGGGATGCAGGCTTCTTATCCGCGATGACACCAGAATCAGCCGAAGGCAAACACTGACGAACTCCTGTCGGCAGCCGTGCGCCACCGCCAGTCTTATTCGCGAGCACTGATCCACATCTTGCTCGCAGCCTTGCGCTGTTCGGACTTTGCAGGCCGCGTCGGCTTCACCGGCTCCTCTAGCATTTTGGGCATTTGGATTATACCATACTGGTGAAACAAGTGCTCTATACCATAGGGGCCTTCATAATTCGAACGGGGTTTTGGCGGTTCCTTATTATAAGAATTGTGGTATAACATTCACCCAAACTCGATTCTAATTATTAAGGGCCCGATATTACCCTAAGGTCGACACACTGTTCAAGGCCCTTGTATGTGCAAGGGTTGGGGCACCCCCTCGGCTTATAGGCGTTTACGGTTTACCTAGGGTCTGTAAAGGCCTTACCATTCCCTCTTTAAGCATCCTTGCAACACCTACAAGGACCCAAGATTTCGGGCCGAACAACTAAATCATCAACCACTCCACTCCTTAAGCTTTAAACCTAAACCCGGCACCTTTGTCTGTATCAAAGGGGAAAAGGAGGGACCCTTAGTTAGGTATATACCCTTGATATAGCTATTATATACCCATTATATAGCCCATTATAGGGTCGCGGGGTCCCCATTAAGGGTCCCTCCTTTTCCCTTTGTCTCTAGGTGGACCCCGTAACATCGGCCCCAGCTGCTGAAATTGCCACGATCTCCTCAAAGAGCTGGAGAGACGAGACCTTAGAGGCTCTTTCTGGGTTTAGGGTTTAGGGTTCAGCAGCTCCGGATCGAGCAGTTTTAAAGTAGTGTTGTGTTTACGGTTTAAGTTTAGGAAATTACACCCACCCACCCTCAGAATCCCATAACATCAGGGAAATACAAAGTTTCACTTCTTTCACAGCTTAACACTACTGTCACCGAACGTTAGCACCACATTAACATCGTAAACATTTTAGCCCAAGCTTCAAAAAGTCGCTGTCGAGTTTTCACAGCATAATCGTTCTATGAATACACACCAAAATCAATCAGAAACTACACAACAGACACATGTTCTGCACTACCACTAAGCGAAACACCATGGGTGGGCAGCTTAGCTTTCTGAGGAAATGATAGCCCCATTTTGTTAATGTCCTTTGTTGTCCATTTTGCAGTAAAGGCCAGGACAGCTTAGCTTTCTAAGAAAATAATGGCCCCATTTTGTTAATGTCCGTTGTTGTCCACCCAATGTTTGCGTCGTTGCACCTACACTTAGGAATGGATTTGTTAAACGATTGTTGGTGGCACTTGCTTGGGAATGGATTTGTTAACCGATTGATTCGCGCGTTGTTGCACCTACACTCAGGAATGGATTTGTTAACCGATTGTTTCGCTTGTTGTGGCGTTAGGAAGCAAAACCTGTTGCAGAATTGTTTCTCTTATTGGGGCGTTAGGAATGGAAAACCTCTCGCAGAATTGTTTCGCTTATTGGGGCGTGAGAGCAAAACCTCTTGCAGAATTGTTTCGCTTATTTGGGCGGTGAAAAGAAAAACCTCTTGCAGAAGTGTTTCGCTTATTGGGGCGTTAAGAATGGAAATCTCTTGCAGAATTGTTTCGCAAATTGGAGCGTTAGGCATGGAAATCTCTTGCCGATTGATTCGCTCATTGCCAATCCCCAACCCACCCTAAATCCTTCTACAGATTCTGGCAACGACTTCCAGGAAGGCAAGGGTGGGATGGATCGGTCAAGAGAGCTGCCTGAAACAGCTGAAGCTGCCGAAAATTGCCTTGCCCACGAATTTCCGGACATCTGGTCTCCGAAAATTGGCTTGCCCACGAATTTCCGGACCAATGTGTCCGAAAATTGCCTTGCCCACGAATTTCCGGACATCTGGTCTCCGGAAATTGCCTTGCGCACGAATTTCCAGACATCTTGTCACCAGATGTTTGGAAATTCGTGGGCAAGGCAATTTTGGACCGAAATTGCCTTGCCCACGAATTGCCGGACATCTGGTCTCCGAAAATTGCCTTGCCCACGAATTTCCGGACATCTGGTCTCCGAAAATTGCCTTGCCCACGAATTTCCAAACATCTGGTCTCCGAAAAATTGCCTTGCCCACGAATTCCATTAAGGTTTATATAATATAATATAATATATATATATATATATATATACACATATATATATATATATATATATGAATGATAGAGAGGGTTTAGGGTTTAGCGTGTAGGGTGTAGGGTGTAGGGTTTAGGGTTTAGGGCTTAGGGTTTAGGGTTTAGGGTTTAAGGCTTAGGGTTTAGGGTGTAGGGTTTAGGGTTTAGGGTCGTCTGGCATCCTTCAATACTTCTGCTTCGTGCTTCGGTGCTTCGTAGTATCGGGGTACTTATGCTTGGGGTTCTAGGGTTTTGGGATGTTTCCCTCCTTGCTGTAGTGTCGGCCAGTACTTTACGGTTTAAGAGTTTAAGCGTTTAGGGTTTAAGGCTTGAGAATTGCTGTTTGATGGCTTTACACCTGAAGCCGTAAACCTGAAACGCCAAACCCTAGTACCTACCCCTTAAGCCCTAAACCCTCTGCCTGAAGCCGTAATGTCTATACCTTAAACCCCAAGTTCCTATATACCAAAAACACCTTAAGCCATATGAAACCGTAAACCCTAAGGCTGAAACTTTGAGAGCCTATAACGGTGGTTGTCAAAATTAGGGTCCCTTTAGCTTTGAGAGCCTGTTCGGAAGATGCTGGCACCGCGGGGTTTAGGGATTCACATGCCAGCTTACACTCGCAGCCTTCTAGCAACTCGAGATGCAGTGAGCGCTTGAGCAGAGCTGTTCGTCTGGAAATGATCTGCTAGAGAGCCACCCGTCTCCAGAGAAGACACTAAGCTACGTTGCCGATCTTTGAGCCCTAAACCTAATGAAAGTACTAATAATCATATTAGGGGACCTAGAAAGGGGTCTATTAGGGTTACTAGTACGGGATCTATAAGGGTACTATAATGATGTAGGCCTCTTAGGTCGCTGGCCCCGAAGATTGGGGACCCTACCACGAAGTCCAGGATGTTCCAGGCGCAGCCGTGCATCGTGAAGAAGCGGAGTTGGTAGACGTACAGGCGCACAGCAACCTGCGACAACACAGGGGTAAGGGCGAGTTGAGGATTCATAGCTTGAGGCATTATAATATCCGGGACCTCAAAAATGGAGCAATGGGGTTTTGAGGTATAGGAAGCTGGAAAGGCGGTGCTGGGCCTGAGGGCTATGCATCGCTATCACCAGATGATTGGATGCCTGGCTTGGCTAGACGAAGAGTTAGATGACACTGCAGAAGCACTTGTAAAGTCAGGGGGGGATACCTCGCAGGCAATTTCCTTCTCATCTTTTATAACGGGAATGATAGCCATGGCGGCAGAGAGAATGATTTTGGAGGATCGGGGGACTTACTCAGTAGGGTTATAAGTAAGGTAACTATATAGCTATATCTTCTTATAACCCTAATTCAGGTACTTATAACCCTGCAAAGGAGAGGCGATGCCAGCATCACAGGACAATGACAGGACACCCGCGGTAACGACAGCCGCAAGGTTGGTCCTGATGGTGGCGGAAAAGATCTGCCGATGACGAACCTCGTCGCTTGAATTCTGCGTTGTCCTAGAAAGTGAATGTGGGTGGTTGTCAAAATTAGGGTCCCTTTTTGGGTCCCTATTATGATACGGCACCTACTATTGAGAGTACCCACAAAGGAGACCCGTAATTTTGACAACCACCCAGGTAGACTGGCTGGCGCTTCCATGCTTTCGAAAGCAGCGGGCCGGGACGCGCCATGCTAAATAAAGCTTATACTCGGCTTCTACCCGAAGCCCAAGAAGCCCCTTTCACGTTTTCGAGGAATTCAATAAAAAAAAAAAAAACTGTGAACCGGAGACAGCCATATAGAATAGCTTCTGCCACGCATGCCTGGCGCTCTGGACCCCTGCACCAACCCAAGACTCCGGCCCCAGTGCTTCCCGGAGCTATGGCTTTAGTTTCAGTGTTCAGTGTCCCCTAGACCCTAAACCCCGAACCCGAAACCCCATAATTACCCTAAACCCCAAACCCTATACCCTAAACAGCGAAACCTAAACCCTAAAACCCCAAATCCTAAACCCTATTATAGACCCCTTTAAAGGAACCCTTAATGATCCCCGAAACCCTAAAGCCCCAAATCCTAAACCCTATTACAGACCCCATATTAGGGGTCCCTAAAAAAGTAGGTTCCTTAGGGTCCAGGTAAAACCCCAAATCCGAAACCCCGAAACCCTAAACAGCGAAACCTAAACCCTGAAACCTCAGATCCTAAACCCAGAAATCCCTAAACCCTGAATCCCTAAATCCCTAAACCCTAGAACCTAAACCTTAAAACCCCAATCTGAAACCCTAACCCAGAGAGCCCAATACAGCTTGATTAAGGAATATAGCTTAAATCATAATATGAATCCCCACATAACTTAAGGTATACTCCTTAGTTGAAGGGTATTGGGCTCATAGTGGCCCTGCCTGGCATCAGGAACCCTTGCTTACAGGGATACTATACTCCAAGGGTAAAAGGAGGGACCCTTAATAAGGACCCCTACCTTGAGGGTCGGGGGACCCTAATTGGGGTTATGGTACTTATAAGTCCTTAGCATAACCAGTTACTCAGTCCCGCGACCCTCCAAGTAGCCCCCAACCCCCAACCCCCCATGTCGTAATCCCCAGAACAAACCCTCAACCCTGCTCCCAAGATCAGTTCCGAATTGAGGATGAACCTGAAGAGTTACTGTAGGTTTAGCAATAGGATGCCTTGTTCTCCAAGTAGGCTCTCTGGGAAACCCAGGAGGCGAGGCGGCCTCGAGGCTGAAGAAGAAGCAGAAGCCCAAATCGATGGAGCCTCGGGGCTATCAACAACGTCAAAGCCTTACTGACATATATTATATATTATTATAGCATATTATAGTATATTATAGTACATTATAGTATATTATAGTATATTCTAGTATATTGTCGTATATTACAGTATATTGTGTTTCTGGTTTTACAATTGTTACTTTTTTTAGCATTGTTATTACCAGTATTATTTTAATACCATTATTATTTGGAGCTCGGGTTCAGGTACTTGCTTCAGCTCCTCCTCAACGACGACTACGACGACGAATACTATTAGGGGCCTTTATGATTTCCCATACTATTTTGGGGGGTCCTTATTATAAGTACAGTATAATGTGCCACAAACCCCCATGCTGATTATTCAGATACTAGTAATTAACTATAAGTAACTAGTATGACGACGACGATGACTACTGATACGACGACCACTGCTACACAACGACGACTATAACTGGTACGACGACGACGACGACGACCGTTGCTGCTGCTGCTGCTGCTGCTCCTGCCCCCGCGACTCTTGCTCTCTTGTTCACACAAAGCATCAACGCTATGACCCTTGCTCCGATTTGTGGCCGCCCTCAGAGCCCAGGCACGCCAGAACACGCCAGCATCCGGATTGAGGGTGACAGCCAGATGGTTGATCTGTATGCCTCGGCGTCCGAAGTGACCGGCACAAGTTCAAAGTGTGATAAATATATCCGCCTGAATAACTAGAATAGGGCTTTGGAGTATATTCTACTATACTTATAATAAGGAACGGGCTCTGGAGTATATTATGCTATACTTATAATAAGGAACCCCCAGAATACCCACCGCCCCCCCCTGCGATTGCGCCCCACTCAGTCGGGGCACCGATAAACAGAGAGTGCAGCAGGATCATGACCATGGCGAAGCACTCGAACCTGAGGTACGGTCTCGGACAGGCTTCTTTGGCAGGCGAGTAGTACCAGTAATAGTAGTGATAATCATAAGAAAAAGAATAAAAGAATGCAATAAGAAGAAGAATACATAAATTAACAATAATGAGTAGGGTTTTAGGGGTTTCCGTGGGGTCTTGCGCTGAACTGCATAATTCACAGCTCAGGTCCGAGAGGTTTGGTGTCACTCACCGAAAGGCTCCATGTACCTATACAGTAGGTACTTAGGCCTTCAAGTACCTACACGACCCCTTTAAGGCCTAAGTACCTACTATATGAGTAAGACATGGCCGAAAACTACTAGCGCGGCCTACAAGAGGCTTAGTGATGTGGGAGTTTCCGAAAACAGGGGACCCTAATATAGTACCCCAAATAGTAGGATCCTTATTATAAGGACCCCAAAAAAAGGTACCCCTAATGTTCGGAAACTCCCATATGCTTTAGCCGGCCCACTTCTTGTCAGTGCCTTTCTTCAGGAGCGGCTGCTAGAGTCCCCAACGGCCGTGAGCGCTAAAGCGAACAGATTCTCGTCTAGCAGAGACATCATATACATTTATATGCGTATCATACATACATAATATATATGTGTATATATATATATGTATATATATATATATATATATGTAAATTTATGTGTGTATATATATATACATATACATATGTAGCTGAGATACATCATCTTCCCTTGCAGTCCTTCTACTCTTCTAACATGAGCTACCTCAAAAGAACATAAATCCCAAGGCGGGTTCAGTCTTCAAGCGTAGTCCGGGCCAGGCTTGCCTTGAAAATGAAAAGAGTTATACATAGATGTGGGGGTTCCCGAAAATTTACGGTACCGTATTTTGGGGCCCTCATAATAAGCAACCTACTATTTAGATTTTCGGAAACTCCCACATAGATGCAGTGAGTATGGCATCGTAGGTTCCCCGAGATAGTAATATAACAACAATAACTACCAAGTATTACGTAGTCTTATAGGTCTTGAAGGTTATTGAAAAGCCTTGATGGTTGCCTACGGTATTGCTTGACGCTTTCTTTAAAAGAGTGGCCTTAATCATTACCCTATCCCTCCAAGGACCTCATAGTTAGGGTCCTAAACCCTTTAAGGATGCCATAATAAGGTCCCTGGAAGCATAGGGTTAGAATAGGGTCTTGGGGCCCATTGTGTGTGGCGGGCTGGCGGCGTTGAGGCGCTCCAGCTTCAGAAGAGCTGAGAGCATACCCGAAACGCGACCCGCTCAGGGCTTACGTCTTAGGGTTTGGGGTTTAAGGCTTGGGGTTTAGGGTTTAAGGCTTGGGGTTTAGGGTTTAGGGCTTAGGGTTTAGGGTTTAGGGCTTAGGGTTTAGGGGCTACCCACCACACCGCAAATCCCGTTTCCGGGAGTCCCGAAACAGATGCTTCCCAGGTGCCAAGTGCTCGTGATGACGTGCTTCACCATCTTCCGGCAGCCGGACATCTTCTGAGTCCGTGTGGCCTGGAGTCCGCTTTCTGCTTTAGGGGCCTGGAAGGTTGACAATGTGGGGGTTTTAGGGAATCGAACAAACAATCTTACTTTTAAATCGTAAATGTCAGTTTAAATACTGTTATTTACCAAATATTATTAGGGTTGAGGCTTTGAGGGTTTAAGGGTATAGGCTTTAAGTTTTGAGACGGTTTGAGGGTTGAGGGTTTGAGGGTTGAGGTTTGAGGGTTTTGGGGTTGAGGGTTTGAGGATTTAAGGGTATAGGCTTTAAGTTTCGAGATGGCTTTTAAGGGCTTCAATGCACAGCCCACAAAACGAGTCCTGAACTACCCCTGCTGCTGCGCATGCCAGGTCTTAAACCCTAAAGCCGGGACACCAACTAGATTTGAAGAGGAGGTAGGGCTTTGGCTTCTGCATTCTGCTCCTCGTCCCTCTACATAGTGCACCCTAAACCCTAAACCCTACACCCTAACCCCTAACCCCTAAACCCCAAACCCGAACCTTAAACCCCTGGCAGAGGAGAGCTGTGGTTCGAAGCGCGTCAACTTTTGGATCCCGAACCTCTTGCACTCCGACAGTTTGGCCCTGTTTGCTGTTGAACTCCGCGAACAATTCAGAACAAACTATCCGGTGTTCTATGTTAACCCTAAACCCTAAACCCCTAAACCCACCTTAGAACGAACCTCTGAGCCTTGGATGACGCATTCTAGCGCACGTACAAAACACTCTGGGAATCCTGCGCGCCGAAAGTGCTATATACAGGGTTCTGAAGAATTGAGTTGCTCGTTAAGCCACTTTGAAATTATTTACTATTATGGTTCTCTACAAACTAGTAGGGGAACTCAAAAAAGATCCCAAAGGACAACCCAGAGAATTGATCATGATACACGGACACCATCGAAAGACCTACTAGAAATCGAGTAAGATCGTTACAAAACGCTGCTAAACCCTCACAAGGCTTATGAAGTCCTATTCAACTCAAAACTTATTGAGGCCCAGAGACATCGGAGAGATCTGGAACAAGTCCGAAGATTCTCTCAGTAATACCTGCAGCAGCCGGCTCACCGTTCAGGTTTGCTTGGGCTTGTTAGAGTTTCGCATTTAGGGTTTAAGGGTTTCGGGAAAAGGGTTTAGGCTCGTGTGTTTACCAAGTTTTCTGGATCCTATATGGGGTCGAAGATTTGTACTTTGACAGACGTGACACTGCGCTAAGGAGTGAGTTTTACCTCAATCCAGAGCTACTGCACGCAGGGGTTTAAGGTGTAGCGATTCGGGTCGAGGATTTAGTTAGGGTTGAGGGTTTAGGGGGTCTGGAGCTTCAGTTAGCCTAGCTTCTTGTAGACTCTCTCTCGCAACCAGAAAAGTATGACCAAATCTCAAACAAGGCACAAGGCATCCCAGCTCTAAAAAAAAAAAAGTCAACAATCAACCTGACACCTCTAAACCCTAAAACTTCACACGGCACCCTGGACCCAGCCCCAAAAACAAGCTCCGCAACCCTCAAGCCCCAATGGCAAATCTTAAACCCTCAAGCCTAACTCACAAACCCCTAAACCCCAGCTCCTCAAGGGTTTAGGGGTTTACCTTAACCCCGAAGAACCTACCGTTTTAAGGACTTATATGGAGAAATCATAATAGGGAATCCTAAAAAGGTAGGTTATTCAGGGTTAAGGTAGGGTTGAGGGTCGCCCAGCGGCCCGACTGGCCACTCTGGCTGTGGCTATGGCGTGGAGGCGGCTTGGAGGCGCGAGGCTTGGACTCAACCACAGCGCCTTGGTGGATGAGTTCAGTGGGGATTTGGGGGGTCTAATATAGGGGCCTCAATACCGAGTGTGTAGGGTTTTGGGGGCCCATTATACTATAGTTATAATAAGGATTCCTAACCATAACAGTGGTGATTGTTTAAGCCCCTATATTAGGGTTTGGGGCTTTCACCGTCTGCCGGATTTGGGGATTTAGCGCTCTCAGGGGTCCTGTAAAACCTATAAAAGGCCAGTATTCTACATACTTTGAGGGTCCAAGTAGGGGCTTTACGGTTTAGGGTTGAGGGTGGCAAGCCAGGCCCCAAACCTGAACCCTAAAGCTGTAACCCCTGGGCCAGCGGTTGTGGAAGGGACTCGGATGAAGACAACTGCGTGGTTGTCAAAATTATGGTCCATTTTTGGGGTGCCCTAAATATTAGGTGCCGTATTATAATGAGGACCCAGAAAGTGACCCTAATATTGACAAACACCCAACTATGATTAGTCACCCCACTCGGTAATCAAACCACGACGAGGACCATAGACGAGTCAGTCGGGGAGTGCTAGCACCCCGGATCGCATCCATAGGAACATCAACCAGAGCTACCACTGTGCGAAGACTAGTGGCCGTGCCTGTCAACACCAGCCCCAAACCCCAGACCCGTCACCCCCGCCCTAATCCCAACCCCTACTTGGAGGGTCGGGGGACTTAGTAAGTAGGTAGTAGGTAGACTTGTAAGTACCCTAAAATGGACCCTAATTTGAGTTAATGGTACTTATACGTCCTCAAAATAACCAGCTACTAAGTCCCCCGACCCTCCAAGAGTATCGTAGGGGCCTTAATCATCAGACCAGGGGTTTGGGGGCCCGTTATGCTCTAATTATAATAAGGAACCCCCAAAACAGTAGAGGTAATTTTGAAAGGCTCCCTTAACCCCACGTAACCTACCTTTTTAAGGACTTATATAAAGAAATCATACTAGGGAACCCTAAAAAGGTAGGTTCCTTAGGGTCCAGGTCTATATTACTTCGAAAACCTGAACACGAATCCTGAAGTCCTTCCACAGCCCAGGCGCTTGGGGGCTCTTCTCCCTTGCCGTTGTCAGCTCCGCCTGGCTGTGACGGAGAACAAGGGTTTACCTATAGTCTCCATTGTAGTTCCTTTTTTTTGGCTTAACCAATTTTATATTAAGAATCCTAAAAGGTAACCCCCAAAAAGAACCTACAATGGAGACTATATAGGCAGGGCCTTAAGGGAAAAGTTTGTTTGTACTGCAATCGTGGGGGTTGACGACAATTGACTTCAAGTCCCGCAATTTCCTAAACCCCAGACTCCTAAACACTTCAACAACCCAGACCGATATGAGCCTGCGCTCTGCGAAAAAGCCCAAAGCAGAGGCAGAGCCGTAAGCCATAAACCCGATAAGCTTCAGGCAACATCCTTTTGGCTTTGGGCTCCCTAAACCCCAAAAATAAGCCCGAAGCCCTAAGCCCTAAACCTAAACCCTAAACCCTGAACCCTAAACCCTACTGTAAACCCTAAACCCCTAAACCCTAAGCCCTACACCCTAAAGCGCTAAACATAAAACCCTAGGCCCAAAAGCTCCGATGCTTGACCCAAAAAGCCTGGTGCTGAGGAGCCACGAGTCTGATCAGACGAAAGTTTCGGAGTGTCGCGTCTCGGCCCCAAGCCACACCTAGGAGTTTCCGAAAATAGGGAACCCGAATATAGTACCCTAAATAGTAGGATCCTTATTTTATTATTATAAGGACCCCAAAATAAAATTTTCGGAAACCCCTCTATCCTTAAACCGACCCTATGCAGCCTTAACCTAATCTAAACAGTCTCATTACATGATGTATCTGATTTTATTGTCTAACGATCTCTCCGACGATCTATCTGTCCATCTATCACTATCTCTAAATGTACTGGAAATCTACCGACCTAGCTGTTCATGCGTATGTATAAAATATTATAAAGAAAATAAACAAATGAACACATAAATAAATACAACTACATATATTTGTGTCTATATGTACATATACATATATATATATATGTATATATATATATATATATATACGTGTGCATATATTTCTTTATGCGGATTTGTTTGAAGGCCGACCGGATCTTCATGACTCCATCTGAAGCACAAAGTGCACTGGAGGCTTTGGACAAGTTCTTCATCGCTTACATTCGGCTCGCCTTTGAGGCCAACCAAGACGGTCTGGTATTTTTCAATATCACCCCCAAGCTTCACTATTTGGATCACGTGCGTTTGGAGCTCAGGGAACAGCTGTCCAAACAACCACAGCGCCTCTTGAATCCGATGGCTTTCTCAACTGCCATGGCCGAGGATTATGTTGGCAGGGCTTCTGTTATCTCGAGGACGCCGCACCCAATGGCCATGCCGCTGCGCACGGCGCAGAAGTGGTTGATTGAAACCAGACTTCGGTGGCGGGGTGAGCGATGAAAAAGGTGGCCGATTGTTTGAGTGCAGAACAGCAAGCATGGCAACAGCATCAGCAAATAACATCATCTTATCATCGTTCATTCTATTTCGACCTCGTTATGATTTCATATTCTTGACTTTGTTGGATTCTCTAAATGATGATCTAAAGATTCTTGAAGAATGCAAAACCTATTCTTGAAGTCCTCAAAACCCAGAACCAGAAAGATATGGTTTCCCAACCGAAACCACAAAAAGGAACTACACAAGAACCTCTAGGTACATACATACATAACTCTATCCATCCATCCATCCCTCCATCCATCCATCCCTCCATCCCTCAATCCCTCCATCCCCCGTCAGTCCATGCATGCTTACTCACTTACGCACCACATGTAAATAGATGCATGGCCCGGGGCCTGCAGCAGCCTCCCGAAGCACTTTTGTGGTTGCTGGCGTCAGCGTCTCGAAAGCTCGCACTTCGTCGGGTTCTGAAGCCGAAGGTGACATGGTATGGTGGTAGGGTGGTAGTAACAATCGCAATGATCATAATAGTCGTAGTATCAATCGTACTGGTAATACTGTTGGTATAGGGCTTAGTGGCTTTGCAGCTACGTACTATCGTTTGAGGCTTTGGGCTGCGAATTTTCGACGGTAGAGTTCGTGTCTGTGTTCAGCTGGGCTGGGCTTTGGTAAAGGACGTTCAGAGAGTCGGGTTGAGGAGTGACCTGAGTTGGGGGTTCAGAATTGAGTCCGAAAACTCTCTGAGCTGGAACTTCCGAAAATAGGGGACTCTGATATAGCACCCTACATAGTAAGGTTCTTATTATAAGGAGCCCAAAATCAGGTACCCCATATTTTCGGAAACTGCCATATGCCGCTCAACAACGTAACAACGTACTACATGCTACATGCACGAGTGCTAGACGCTAGCTAGTACGAAGATGGAGGAGGAGCAGCAGCACGAAGACGACGTCCATGCCACGACGTTGACGATGCTTCGTTCAGGGTTGTCGGACCTCTGTTTGAGTTTTTGTTCGCATCCCTTGCACCTCCTTTGTGCTCGCGAGGCTTGCTCGGCTCTGTTCGCCAACGTTAATCGTGCAGCCTCCATCAAGAATCCTGGACTGACATCCCCAAGAAATTTCGGTGATTGGGCACCAATAGGAAAGATATTACATGCCCTTCTTCGACTCTAAAAGAAGAACCTGCAACCTAACGCTGCTGCAACCTTAAAGCCATAAACCCTACACTGGGTTCTGGCTAGTAATTTAGGTTACCATACTAGCGATCTACAGTAAATAGTGGTTTCATGTTTCTGGTAACTTAAGCTGAACCCGTGTACAAGAATCCAGTACAAACTTGCTCCCCCAATAAGCCACAGAAATCGAAGGTTAAACTTTCCGATGCCTACTATATGAACAACCGAAACAGTTTAAAGGGAACTCCAGAAAGTTGGAATATGGTTTCAGGGTAGGATACCTTATAATTCACCATAAAGGGTTTAGGATAATCATATCCCAACTTTCTGGCTTTTACTCTAAAGGTTGGGTATTGGGGATATATAAACGTAAATGCCGTGTGCCATCGTCCCAGGCGAGCCCTGGACTCTCGCTTCCTTCCCCTTTGCATCCCCTGCTGCGAGCCTTGCTCACTCTCCTCCATGCCCCACTCCTGCGAAAAGAGAAGTGGGATTGAGAAATTCGGAGTTTGGGCCCATAAGAAAAAAAACGCCCTTCGGCCCTTCGCCCTATGAAGTTAAGCTTCGCGAATGTCATGAAACTTAGACGCCAAAGCTTCCGTCGTTCACAGAATTTCGCATGCACCGATGCCTTGGCAACCCCGGGACTGGGAGTCTCCCAGAGAGCCCAATACTCCTTGATTAAGGAATACCTGGACCCTAAGGAACCTACCTTTTTAGGATTCCCTAATATGATTTCTTTATATAAATCCTTAAGAAGGTAGGTTACGTGGGGTTAAGGCATAGCCTAAAGCATAAAACGAATCCCCTTATGAGCCCTTATGGCTTAAGGTAGATTCCTTGATAACCCCAAGCCTTGCAGTTAAAGCCCCAATACCCAACCCCTCAACCGAGCGAAGCTCTTTGCCAAATCCCATAACAAACCCTTCTGAAACGAAGAGCGAGAGACGGAGGAGAGAGAGAGCGAGAGAGAGACAGATAGAGAAAAAACAAATTCGCCAGAACTCCACCCGGCGAAAGCATTGAACTACTTCGACACCCTTATCTAATACCATTATCCCACGAACCATGAACCCAAAGCCCTGAAGCACAGCGAAATTTCGCTCGCGGCCTCTTTCAGCTCCGAAAGGACTTTGGATGCTCCACCGGCTGGAGTCAATCGCGCCGCCCAGCGAGGTGCGTACCTTGGGTCGGGACTGCAGTTTGTTTACCCATAGGCCTCATAGTGGTTCCATTTTTGGGGTTCATATGTAGAATCCTTTGAGGTAATCCCAACAAGGAACTACTATGGGGCCTATGGGTAATGCGTAGAGAGCTCTGGAGCATTGGGATTTCATATTGTTTAAACTGGGGATCAACACCCAGAATTGGGTTTGTTAGGGTTTTAGAGTTTCATACTCTTTGCCTTTAAGCAGTACCTTGAGTCCGGGGTGTTTGAGATCGTGTCTTCCGCGGAATCTGTGGCCTAAGATGCGGTGTTTTCCCGGTGTCTAAGGTGGGAGTGAGGGATGCGGCTTTAGGAATCCGGGGTGGCATGTTTCCAGCGTTGCATTGTTTCGGCTGCGCGTGTTTTGCGCTCTGCACCTCAACTCGTGTAGAAAGGAGCGCACTGCGCGATGGACCGGTGCCGTCACTGGGGCTCGGGGGCGGCGGGGGGCGGGAATACTGAGAATGTTAATATAGGGGCCTTAAAAATTAGAATAGGATTTTGGTGCCCACTATGCTGTATTTATCATGAGGAACATGCAAAATAGTATAGGTAATTATGCAAAGCCCCACACACTAGGTAGAAGCAGGAGGCGGACCTGCGGTTCCTGTTCATACTGCTATTTTCTGCAGCACTGGGCTTGGCAAGGGCCGGAAGGCTTGAAGGAAGTGAGATAGGGCGGCCTGGGTCTTGATGATTAGACTAAAGATCGGGGGTGATATGATAGTGTGAGGAATTTGTGAAGCTTCTCTATGTTAGTCCGAGTCCCCATGATCCGGATGCAGTCAGCTGAAGCTGCCCTTTCGAGGCAAAAAGCAATTGTAGCACTTCAGGCTTTGGCCGTATTTAAAACACTCCGTAATCGTCATGACAAACAGGTTTAGGGTCTAGGGGTTCTGAGCTCTAGCCCGTAATCGTCATGACAAACATGGTACTGTAACGCCTATCTTGGGCGCAGAGCCTGATCAACCAGAAGAACTTATTTAGCGGTTAAGGAAACAGCAAACACTGGCGCCCTTTTGCAAAAGGCGGGGAACTCCTGATGATTGGCGCCAGGGATGTCGATCACCTCGCAGCAACGACATCGTTGCCATCAGCATGAAACTGCGAGAATTGGTCTGATATCGTAGTTACTCAGAAGCAGCAACAGCAACCTCTGCAACAGCGGTAGTAGCACAAGTCGTTGGAACCACAGCCCTATCCGGGAAAACTCGAGATCTATGCCGAAAAAAAGGGTGCGCCACAGGCCACAAGCAGAAAGCTCTACTTAGGCACTTTGAACCCTTAAGCCCCAACCAGCCAACCCATCACCAGCATCCGCAAGCCCTTTACAGTAAAAGCCAGAAAGTTGGAACATCATTGTCCTCATGCCACTAAGGTAAAGCATAAGGGATCCTAGCCCTAGCATTCATCCTCCTAAAGCCGTTTTCCAACTTTCTGGAGTTTTCAAACTATAGGTTCCCATAGCCTGGGGTCTGAGCCATAAACCCTGGCCTAATGCACGGAAAGATGCACCGTTTAGTGAACCTCGCTGGAACTCGGACACACACACACACACAAGCAGAGACACACACACACACACATCCACAGAGACACACAAAGACGCAGACACACAGAGACAGTCAGACCCTCCCAACTTGACCACGTGACCCCTGCCCGGGTCCCGCCTCCGGCGGACTCGTCCATGCAAACGCCCTCCCCGGACTCGATGGGCGCAGATTCGCTGGGAAGACCGGTGATGCAGGCGATGTCTCCTTTCGTAGGAAATCGTGGGAATTTCAAAAGATATATGGGAGTTCCCGAAAAGAGGGGACGCTTTTTAAAGGGATCCTGTAAGGGTTCCTTAGAGGGCTCTATATGGGTTCTATATTGGGTTTAAGAGTTCCCGAAAATAGGGGACCCTGATATGGTCCCTTAAAGGGATCGATAAGGTTTCCATAAGGGGTTGAGGGTTTAGAGTTTCCGAAAATAGGGGACCCTAATATGGTACCCTAATAGTAGGCTCCTTATTATAAGGGCCCCAAAATATGGTACCCCTGAATTGGGAAACTCCCATATTTTGAGGGCTACACTAGCGTCTGCCACTCGGTATACGGGCTACTCTAAGCTATTGCAACACTTCAAGCTGTGGGGTTTTAGGTTTAGGGTGTTGTGCTGAGGGATTCACTTCGGTACAGTATACTATCTCATTATGCCAGCATTCGACACGGACCAAGCCGCGAACAATCAAAGTCCACCCCACTGGCGCACACATTGAGGTTTAGGGTTTAGGGTTTGGGGCCGAGTATTCTGCGATGCAGGGATGTCGTGTTTGACGCCTCTGGTTGTTGCGGAGTTTCGCCACTTCGAACCAACTGCTTCCTCGTTACACGCACGTTCTGATCACGTTTGTGGCCTGCAAGTGAAACATGATGTCATTATGTCAGCCTTGTATTGCGTAGTACAGGATCGTAATGCGGATCCCTTATAGAACCGTTTAAGGATCCCTTTAAAGGGAACCTAGCTACTTATTAAGGCCCCTATAGCTAATTTGGATGCGCATTGAAAGAGCTGCACATGTTGGGCTCGGGCGGTCTGCGGCTTGTTGGGGTTCATGAGACAAGCCCAGAGAGCCCAATACCCCTTAATCAAGGAATATACCTGAAATGATAAGGGGGCGCATAATATGATTTAAGCTATGTTCCTTAATTAAGGGGTATTGGGCTCTCTGGGAGCAAGAGTTGGTGGTTTGCGAGGTTGGGGTTTACTTACCTTTGGCTAGTAGGGAATGGAGGAATGGGGTACAACTGTAGCTACTATTTCTACCATTCTTCCATTCCCTACTGACCAAAGGTAAGTTTACGGGTTTTCGGGCTTGGAGAGCTTTGGGATTGAAGCTTGGTGACACAGAACCGCTCGAAAGAGCGGTCATCATGGGATTGTGTCGCACACCTACCTAGACCCTCCATCTACTACCCTCGGTTAGACCCTAAATGCCCCTTGCTTGTGACCATATACCTCTATTTGAGGGTGCAAGGAGGGTCCTAGTATTCAACCAACCACGACCAAAATCCCAAGCCCTGAACCTAAAAGCCTAAGCCCTGAAACTCTGAAGCTCCGGATCCAACATATCCTAAACCCCCCAAAAGTAGGTAAAAATAATGGCTATTATTCTACATACTTTAGGGGTCCAGGATAGCCCGAAACCCCAAACCCTAGCCCAACAGATGACGGTTCGGCCTGGCAGAATGCACGAGAAGCCGTGACATGGACGTCGAAACCGCAAAGCTTACACCCTACATCCCGAAGCTCAGGCAAGGCGTCGATTACGTGAGCCCCAAAAGTCATGTATCATTAGGGCCGTTAGGGTTCGACATTCATTAAAAACCATTGGCCCATTTGAGCCCAAAGCTGTGCAGTAATCACGATGACAGTAGAAACACCAACAATAGCAGATAGCAAGAATCCCCCAAATCGCTACCCAGTAAACCAAAACCCCCAGCGTCAGGCCATGGCGCATTCTTTGGTGAAGTGAGACTCAGACCGAGCTTCGGCTCGACCTAGCAGGCAGCTTGGACTGCGGCGGGGAGCGGAGCACTGCTGTCTTCCTATGCGTGATCTTATCTGTTTAGGGTATGGGGGTTTAGGCGTTTAGGGTTTAGGGGATCTTATCTGTGTCCGTCTGCTTGAGCAAGGGCTGGATCTTGTTTCAACTCATAAGTCCCTCAAGGTTGTGCGGTTGTCAGAAGGACACCTGAACCCTTCTGAACAGACGCACCCCCACACAGTTGCAGGGGTCGGATCTCATAGCACGTACGAAACGAGCACAAACTCACCCACCGGTGCGGTGTAGTAGAATTGTAGCCTGTACAATACACTAGCTTTGGGAGCTGTTCTAGACATGTACAGAGGGATGATAGCTCTAGCCATTGTAGCCTCTCTTGCAGTTGCCACTATTCCGGAGCCCTGAATCCAACTGAAACCTAATTCAACATGTTGCAGGACGAGGTGCGCAAACAAACCCTCATACATACGGCTGGTTGTCAGAATTATGGTCCCTTTTCCCTATTATAATACGGCACCTATTATTTAAGGTACCCAGAAAGGGACCTTAATTTTGACAACTACCCATACAAGTTCGCGAGAAAGGACTGGAGTTTAGGATGTACTGTCGTAAACGTATACAGACGAGCTATGAGCAGAGATATTGTGATGAAACATCGGGATTCTATCTCAAAGCCCCCACGGCTCAGAAAACCTTGGAACTGCCCAAACATCCTGAAACCTAAACCTAGGAAGGCCCTATAAGCCCTCAACCCCAAACCCATAGGCGCCTGGGCACAAAAACAACATAGAACCCCGAAACCCGCAGAGCCGTGGAGGCTCTGATCCTCAAAATCCCATAAGACTCCATGAGCCTTAAGCCCTTTAAGCTCCCCCCCAAGCCCCAAAGCCTTATTAGTTTCTGAAAATTAGGGGTACCTTATTGTGGGGTCCTTAAAATCAGGATCTTGTGTTTAGGTTACTATAATGTGGTCCCCTATTTTCGGAAAACTCCCATGTAGTACAAGCCAGAAACTTGGAACATCCTTGTCCTCATGCCATTGAAGTATAGGGGATCCCAGTACTACTCATCCTACATCGAAGTCCTACGAACCCACACACTTACCCACTGTAAACCCCCGGAAGTAGGCAAAATAATGGCACAATGCCCACGAAAGGCTATTAGTTCTTATACTTGGGTGGTTGTCAAAATTATGGTCCCTTTTTGGGGTCCCTATTGTAATACGGCACCTATTATTTAGGGTACCCAAAAAGGGGCCATGATTTTGACAACCACCCACTTTGGGGTCCAGGTCCTGACTCCTCAGCTCGCCCAAAATTCTGGGAGAACCGCAAGGCTCTGAGGCCTCGAATTCGTAGAGGAGCCACAGGAAGCACAGAGAGCGCAAGACCCCTTTAATTCAGGAATATACATTAAATTACAAGGGTGTTTATATGACGATTTAAGCTATATATTCCTTAATTAAGGAGTATTGGGCTCTCTGGGAACCTCCTGGCCCATGGCTTGCTTATCAGATGCTTATCACATGCTAGAGGGTTGTATGATCGTTTTTCGAAGGGGCTTCGGGCTTCAGGGGCTGAGGGCTTCAAGAAGGCACGGAAGCTAGGTTTACTGGATGTCGTCATCTGGGATTCACAGGAGGGCCCTCAACCTCTCGGCTTTGGCTTCGGCTTTCGTTCCCCAAAAAGTCAACCTACACCCTAAACCCTAAGAGTTCGAAACCCCAAATCCTAAAAGGTCACCTTGTCCAACAGCTTGACCGTGGCAGTCTCCAGTTCCTGTCGGATTTCCGGGGGGAAGTCATCTGAATGCGATGGCGGTGATGATGAGGACGAGGACGATGGTGATGATGGCGATGCTGGGTATGATGATGGTGATGATGATGATGCTGATCATATTTATGATGGTGATGAATGATAGTCAGATAGCCATCGTCATCTTCTGCACATCCACCGCCGCTATCACGATCATGAGCCATGAGTGTCAGAGGGCATCATCAAAGGGCAGGCTCTTCATCCTCAACAGGAGTGAATTTGTCAACGTTCAAAGGCGGTAAAAGCTTAAATATGAAGGCCACATTAATTCGAATAGGCTTAATTAGGGGGTATACATAAAAACATCAGGGTGATATGGAGCCCTAATCCATAGTACTGGTAAGTACGAATTCAAGCCCCTACGTGAAGTATTGCTTAGGATCCTCGGTCAGAGGCGCCGAGGGCGCCGAGGTCCGCAACCTCCTAAACCATAAGCTCAAAAGGGCCGAAACTTGTCAAGAGAAACATTCCTGTAACTCAAGCGCTTCCATGCTACAAGGAGCATGATCTACCTAAACTAGACAAGGCTTCTTGGTCTGGTGATTCACTCAGTGACACCTTGTGCCCTCAACGCTGACCCGAAGAGTCAAGGAGTGCTCTCCGAAACCCAAGAGGATGGATGTCTCTTCCCCACACGCCTAAGTAACCCCCAGACCAGCCAAACAGTCAAAGCCCTGAACACCCTGATGCCCTAAACTCTCCAAAACGATGAACTCCGAGAGCCCAATGCTCCTTTAAACAAGAGACTAATCCTTATATCGTAATACCACGCCCCCGAATATCTGAAGGCATGCTCCTCTAGGTGGGGCTTTTAAAGCTTTTGAAAAATATTAGTAAGTAAGATCCTCTTAAGCCCAATAAGGGAAAATATAAAATGTCCCAAAGCCCTACCTAGTCCTTAACTAGAGGTATGAGGCTCTCTAGTCTAGGAACGGGGGGTGGCTTCTGGTCTTGCCTTGGCCACGACGTCGCGGAGCTCTCCACAAAGCTCCCGCAGCCTAGGCTTCCGGCTTTCTGGGTTTAGGGTTTGGGGTCTAACTTTGAAGAGCCGGTTTTTCGAAGGGCTGAGGGTTTAGGGTTAGACCCAGAGAGCCCAATACCCCTTAATTAAGCAATATACCTTAAGTTATAAGGGGACGCATAATATGATTTAAGCCATATTCCTTAATTAAGGGGTATTGGGCTCTCTGGGGAAGGGAATGTTGGGGGTTCTACCAAGGGTTTCGTTTTTGCAAGGGCTTCTCTCTTGGACTCTCTGAGTTCGGACTTCTTTTCGCAAACTTGTCTTAAGGAGTTGCCTCTTTTTAGGCTTCAGGTCGGTTTTCTCTTCTTTTGGGTGTGGTGCTGAGCTTTTCGTTGAAAGCTCTTCGGTTTGCTCGGGATGTAGAAAAGCACCGCGAATTAGGAACCCTACATAAAGCACGCCGAATTGTGAGAAGACCTCACGCACAAACACCCTAAACCCTATACCCTAAACCCCTCAAAAGCTTAAGCCTAAACCCTAAATGCCTTTATAAAAGCCATCCTCGAAACCCTGATTATAATACAAAGAAATGTCGGACATCCCGAAAAATGCAACAAATCCCACGTGGAGACCCGGGTGTACCCAGAGACTCCAATACCCCTTAATTAAGGAATATTCCTTAAAATGGATCCCTACTATGATTTAAGGAGTATTCCTGAATTAAGGGATATTGGAGTCTCTGGGTAAGAAGCCCCACTAAATCGCAGAGGAGACGCCGGTCGTCGGCTTTCCTGAGCACCGAGTCGACGCGGTCATCGTGGTGATCCACGGGCTTCGGCATCCCGGAAACCCAGAACGCACCGAAAGCTACACTGCTACACCCGGGGACCAAAGAGCTTTCGATGTCATCCTGTCCACGGCCTCAACCCAGATACTTGGGCATTTCAGGGCTGGACAAGGCTGAAATCCTACATCCCAAATCCGATTAGGGCGGAGCCTTTGAGGGTTGCGGGTGCATGAAGCTGGGGCTGCGGATTGGGCTAAACCCTAAACCCTAAACCACAAAAGCTAAACCCTAAACCCTAAACCTTATAAACCCTAAACCCAGGAGGAGCCGGAGCTGTCTCTGAACCACTGAGAACGGCCACTTGACGGGCACGGAAATCCAGCAACGGAGCATTTACTTACCTTTGGTTAGTAGGGAATGGAGGAATGGGGTACAATTATAGCTACTATTTCTACCATTCTTCCATTCCCTACGAACTAAAGGTAAGTTTAGGGCTTAATCCGCGGCTTTGAAGAGTGGAGTCGTACTCCTTTGTTTTGTCATACATACTACGCCCGAAACCAGATTCCAGTATTCAGGGCCCTATCTTGAACCTTCAAGAAACCCCCCAGTACAGAAGACCCTCTAAACCTCAACCCGTAAACTCTAGCCTGCTCTCACCCTCAACACTAAACCCTTAAACTCTAGCCTGCTCTCGCCCTAAACCCTTAAACTCTAGCCTGCTCTCACCCTAGACCCGAAAACCTAAACTCTAAACCCTTAAACTCTAGCCTGCTCTGGGCCGCCCTCGATGAGGGTAGAGTCTGTGCTCGATCCTCGCACGTCTACTGAAGCTCCAGCTGCGTTTGCGGTCGTAGGGTTTAGGTTTAGGGTTTTATGGTCCCTTGTTTAGGAGTTTATGGGATCCGTGCAGGAGGGGGGAGTCAAGGAGGTTCGACTACCCCGCCTTGAACCACCCTAAACCCTAAACCCCTTCTTCAGGATCACACAGTCCGTACCCCTCCAACTCGACATCTAACACGTCACAAATCTTCCAGCCCGGAGTTGAGTATATAATAGGATTCCTCTAAAGGGTTCGGTTCCTTTGAAGGGGTCTATAAGGGATCCATAATGGAGTTCTAAAATATAGGGGCCTCAACAAGGATAGGGTTGTGGGGCCCATTACTTATGATAAGGAGCCTCTGAAATAGTATAGGTGATTATTATGGGCTCTATACTAGCAGTATCACATGTGCTTGCAGTAAAAACTCAACAACTTACTGTAGTATGTCCCGAACCTCTATTCTTGTGATTGAGTACCTGATGTTGGAATGTACTGTTCATGAAAACCACTATTTGTTCTTCCTTATTGGGCTTGCTTAAGTAACCCATAAAGATGTAAAATGCTACCCAACTGGACAAAGTATAAGTTAAGGGACGTACCCAGAGACTCCAATGCCCCTTAATTAAGGAATATTCCTTAAATTATAGTAGGACCCCTAATATAACTTAAGGAATATTCCTCAATTAAAGGACATTGGAGTCTCTGGGCATAGGGTGTGCCCAGAGACTCCAATATCCCTTAAGTAAGGAATATTCCCTAAATTATATTAGGGATCCTAGTCTGATTTAAGGAATATTCCTTAATTAAGGGATATTGGAGTCTCTGGGTGCTGTGCAGTGCACTGGCAGTGCACGGATTTTCTCCGGTAGAGGCCCCTGAAACGGTGCATCGTCACAGACTCTCTGCGTGGCGGTTCAGAGTTTCGGGGTTTAGGGTTGAGAGGTTTAGGGTTTAGGGTTGAGAGGTTCCGGTGCAAGAGTTGATATTTCTGCTGGATCGTAAGCACGAGTACCTAGACTGCTTACGGCACAACCACGAGTCACTAGTATTCGTATTCCTCTTGCTCTCCTTGTAGTCGTACCGGTGCTCGCCGGTGACCATCATAGTGAAGATGATGGAAAAATCTCGCCGCACCCTAAACCCTAAACCGACACCTTACAAACCGCTAAACTTCTAAACCCGAAGCCTGCGTCGCCCTAACAAACCCCGAGCCCCAAAATACCTGAACACTGGTGGCCCGAAGTAGCCCGAAATCCCAGAACCCCACGCATCACCTCATCTCAGCGAGCACCGCATGACCTAAACCATACTACGAGTACAGGCTGGGTACACCTACCTCAACAACCAGGCGCTCAACCACGAAGGTCGGCAGCGCGATTGCTGCATTACTTCTTAGTGTGAGCAGCTGGCCTATAATGTCGCAGGAGCCTGCCTTGGTGGACGGCTGTAATGAATCTCCCATGGTGCCAGGCTCCCCGTCAATGCACCAGTAGCGGACGATCTCTAAGTCGACATGGTGAGCCATCTTCTCCTGGCGCCCCTCATTACAGGAGATGAGCCTACTTTGAAGACTACTGGAAGGTATATAAATATACAAATATAAATGAATTTATATACATATATATATATATATTTTTGTGAACATGCCCACGCCTTGAAAATAACACGGCCAGCCCTAAGCCCTGCTTCGCCGTCGTCAATCATGGGCCCTACGACAACAAGCCCTGAACACTAAGCGGGCGTTTCCGAAAATAGGGGACCCTGATATGGTCCCTTAAAGGGATCTATAAGGGTTCCATAAGGGGTTGAGGGTTTAGGGTTTCCGAAAATAGGGGACCCTGATATAGTACCCTAAATAGTAGGATCCTTATTATAAGGACCCCAAAATACGGTACCCCCGATCTTCGGAAACTTCCAAGCAGGCCCCGCACCCTAAACAAACCCTCAGCACACATTGAACCCTAAACCCTAAACTGTCCGGTTCTGAGTAGGGAATGGGGGGATGGGTTATGGGGACTATCATGGGGGATTATATATAGGGACTACTATAGGGATCCATTCGCCCATTCCCTACTAAGCACCAGACAGTACACCCAAATCAAAGTGTGGGCCCAAACGACACCCCTTAATAATTAGAATGAGGCTCCTTATTATAGGGGTCTATAAGGGCTACTATCCGGATGTAAAAAAGGGGCTAAGTAGAATGGGGTTTAGTTTAGGTAAGTATTTAGAGACCCCTAGACACTGCAAAAATTGCCGCCTCGGGTTGGGGGATGACCTTTCAGTCGCAGCACACTGACTTTTGGGCGCAAGGGAAAAGCTTCTGGGCTAAAGCTTCACGGCTCAAGGTCCATTGCCTGCAGGGTTTAGGGTTTAGGGTCGGGGTTCAGGGCCTTATATGAGAAGATCGTCCCATGTAGGGCCTCCATATGGGATCCTTCATCTTCGAAAACGCTCGCACGTATGTACAAGCAAACGACCGACAGCAGATAGGATGAGCCGCAGGTTTCAGGGCTCTGGGTTTTAGGGTTTAGGGTTTAGGGTTTCGAGATTGGGGGTTTAGGGGCTTAGGATTTACGGGGTTCCGAGAAGATTGGAATTGGTGTTCTTCCTAGTAACTTGAAAATATGAAACACAGGACTGCGTAACCTAAATCCTAAAGTCCTGAAGCAGAGGATTCGTGTCAGGCAAACTGCGCAGCAAAAGGATCCCTCTTCTGCTCAAAACAGCAACAGCCCTTTCCTGTTTCTGGGCTTTGAAGTAACCAGAGAGAAAAAAGTATAGACTTTTTTTTCATAATTGGTTCCCTTTAAGTAACAGGTCCCAAAAAAGTATTAAAGTATGGTACTCCAAAGCCCAGGTTTGAGGGATCCTGAGGGGAGGAGATAGAAACCTTTCCTTTGCTAGTAATAATAGTAATCGTAATAATAATAGTAGTAATAATAATAGTAGTAATAATAATAGTAGTAATAATAATAGTAGTAATAATAATAGTAGTAATAATAATAGTAGTAATAATAATAGTAGTAATAATAATAATAGTAATAATAATAGTAACAATATATCCGCTGCCGGTGCTGCCATTGGCGGCGTTCTCGCGGTGCAGGCTTGCTAATTCTTAAAAATCATTTTCTCCGAATTAGAGCTCCGAGGGCCCAAGCCTAAGGCCTACAGAACTACCTTTCTTTCCACGAGGCGAGACAACCCGATGCCAAACTGAGGGAGTTTAGGCACTGAGGGACTTGAAAAGAAACCCTTGAAAGGAGACCCGAAGCAATACTATCCTTTCCGACGGCCCCCTAAATCGGGTACCACTCCACTCTCTTGTAATTTCTACTGCTACTACCAGTACATGCCCTTCTCTTCCTCCGCCTCCTACTACGACGACTACAACTACCACGTATACTGCTCACTACTGAATACCTACTACCTGCTGCGGAATACCTACTACCTAATACCTACGACCCACTACCTACTACTTACTGCTTACTGACTACAAGTTACAACTCACGACGTACTGTATGATTTACTGTTTACTACTTCCTTCCTTCTTCCTACTTCCTGCTCTCTACGGCTACTGCTGCTGCTACTGCTACGAGAGCGACTGCGATTACCACGGCTACCACCACGATTAGGACGACTACGACTGCGACTACGACTTCCACGACTACGACTATATACGACTACGACTCCCACTCCCGCCGCCACTATCAGTCACTACCACTAGAATTACGACTAGTAGTAGTAGTAGTAGTAGTAGTAGTAGTAGTAGTAGTAGTAGTAGTAGTAGTAGTAGTAGTAGTAGTAGTAGTAGTAGTAGTAGTAGTAGTAGTAGTAGTAGTAGTAGTAGTAGTAGTAGTAGTAGTAGTAGTAGTAGTAGTAGTAGTAGTAGTAGTAGTAGTAGTAGTAGTAGTAGTAGTAGTAGTAGTAGTAGTAGTAGTAGTAGTAGTAGTAGTAGTAGTAGTAGTAGTAGTAGTAGTAGTAGTAGTAGTAGTAGTAGTAGTAGTAGTAGTAGTAGTAGTAGTAGTAGTAGTAGTAGTAGTAGTAGTAGTAGTAGTAGTAGTAGTAGTAGTAGTAGTAGTAGTAGTAGTAGTAGTAGTAGTAGTAGTAGTGATAGTAGTAGTAGTAGTAGCAGTAGTAGGAGGAGGAGTAGTAGTAGTAGTAGTGGTGGTAGCCGTAGTAGTAGTACTGCTGCTGCTGCTCCTGCTCCTGCTACTGCTACAGCTCCCACTGCTACTATCACTATGACTGCAACTACCATTCCCTTTGCCAGTACCACTTCCGTTAAACTACTACATAAGTACGATGACGACGATCACGGCGAACTTTGGTGAAAGCAACGACGACTACGAAGTCGACGTTCCTTGCGGTCTCTGTCTGTGATGCCACTAGACGCGAAACCCTAAACCCTCAATAGCGCGTCCCTGCTTAACCTTGCGGAAACCTCAACCACAGAACCTAAAACCGCTGATACCCTGAGCGAGTAACCTCATTCAACTGAAAAATCCCGGATTAACCCCGGGTTTACCGCAAACCCCAAGGCCTAAAGCCCGACTTAGACTACCACGCAGATGCATGCAAACCCTTTACCACCCTAAGCTCTAAAAAGGGTACGAAAAAGTGTAAAACAACCTGAAGAACCTACACTTCAATCTCATCTACAGCCGTTAGCCACGCGTTGCACCCTCAGAGCTTCTCCGGCCCATGCACGCGCTTTCGAGGCCGGGAAGCCTGGGAGGTTTGGGGGTTGGCGGGTTTGATGTTAGGGGGTTTGGGGTTTTGGGTACAAAGGGTCTCGGGGTTTTTTTGAGTTAGGGAGTTTACGGTTTTGAGGTTCAAGGTCCTAAATTGTAGGAACTCTAGACTTGAGAGTTCAGGGTCCTCAGATGGACTATATATCAAGGCCTTTGGGCTTTAAGACCTTCGGTTTCTTGCAGTCTTGCATACTCATATTCTTACCCAGCATTGCTGCGCTGGGAGGGTTCCGACGTGCTGATCTGAGTGGTTAGGACACTGGTCTGCCCTGGGTCTTCAAGGCACCCTCATCCGCCACATCGAGTTCAGCGATAGTTGGGTGATCCGAACTCTCACAGAATCCAGCCCGCTCGAAATTTCAAGCTGAACCGCTTTCCTACACGGTTCGCACAGCCAGGACACCGCAAATGAGTTGCATTGGCTCTGTTCCCACTTTCTCAAGAAGCTCTGCCAGCAGCTCTTGATTCCACACTGTCTCAAGAAGCCCTGCAAACAGCTCTTGATTCCACACTTTCTCCAGAAGCTCTGCAAGCCGCTCTTGATTCCACACTTTCTCTAGAAGCTCTGCAAGCAGCTCTTGATTCCACACTTTCCCAAGAAGCTCTGCAAGCAGCTCTTGATTCTACACTTTCTCAAGAAGCTCTGCAAGCAGCTCTTGATTCCACACTTTCTCAAGAAGCTCTGCAAGCAGCTCTTGATTCCACGTGTGTGGGTCATTAGATAGCCCTTCACCCACCTGTCGGCTGGACGTCTGCGCGGCGAGGCGGCAACGGGCCAGGGACCGCTCCTGATGGGACATGTGAAAGTGCGATTTCAAGATTCAGGGTTTAGGGTTTAGGGTTTAGGGTTTAGGATTCAGGGTTTAGGGCCGTTTAGGGTTTAGGGACATGTCAAGTTCGGGACCGAGAATGTCGAAAGCCTCTTGGGTTGCACGGTTGCACTCGACCAAGCATCGCTGGCGATTGCAACCCATGTGACGAAGTCGTCGACCCTAAACCCATCGCCCTCGTTGCTGACGTTGTGATCGTGGTAACTGCAGTGCTCTGCGCTGCGGCAGTGGCAAGAAGCGGGTTTGTAACGACAGGAGGAGCGATAGAAACTGCATCGGCAGAGGCGGTGGTGGCAGAGGCGGTGGCGGTGGCGGTGGTGGTGGTGGTGGCGGTGGCGGTGGTGGTGGTGGTGGTGGTGGTGGTCTTTTTGGATCCTTGATTTAGGCTGGTTAATCGGGAGAACTCAGGACTGGTGGTTTTCTATGTTCCCTCCATGGATCCCCCGGACACCACAATGGTCACGGTCGAGGTACGCGTATTCGATCGGCCGGCACTATCCAAGGCAGAAAGGCTCCAGAGGCGTCCTGCTCCTGTCGCATCTGCTCAATCTCCATGCGCAGCTGAACCTGGTTCTGCAATACTGCGGCGGATCTAACTTGCTCTTGCTTCTCTGTAACTAGCGCAATATCCCTAACCCTAAACCCACATTTCTTAACCCTAAACCCTATAACATTCTCAGTCTTCTAGTAGAAGTAGAACATGAGAAGAGCTCGAAAACGAGATCGTAGCAGTAATGAGTGCAGTAATAACGGATAGTGAATAACGCTGAAACCAACCCCGGAACCTTGTATCACTAAATCAAATTGTCTGCCGGAGAATAGTCTCCTGAAGATGAGCTGAAAAATATCTCTGCCAAGATCGCGACCATGAATACGAAAACACGTGAAGGTATCCACACCCTAAGGCCTAAATTCCACAATTCTAAACATCCGGACATCCGGATTCCTTTGAATATCCAGCAAAGGACGTAAGGGCTTCTGTATGCTCCAATCACTGAATGGAGGAAAAGCAGTACTCATCGTTGAGAATCTTACAGCGTTACCACTCGCAGCTGTTGTTTTTATGCGTTTAGCGACATAGCAACTGTTGCGAATACCTGTGCAATGAAACCACAATTGTTGGCAGAAAGGACAAGTGCCTTAACAGGCACTAGACGTATGTACGCGAGTATCTCGGACAGCCGTTAACCACCAGTTTCCATCCCACGCAACAGTCCCTTCTGAATCCTAAAACCGAAACCGTGTAGCAGCTCATGTGCAGCATTTCTGGACAAGAGCATCTTCACTCTTGTGCTCATCACGACGATGATGATGCCGGATCTGATGGAAATGGTGATGATGATGGCCATTGCGGCTATCGTCAGTAGCCTTCTGACACCACGCCTTCTTTGCTGCTATGTCTGCTTTTGGCGTTGAGGAGATGCAAATCCCATGAACAGCTCTACACAGAGCTTCGGGACCTGCACCCAGTGGGTCGAAGTCCGAGGATCTATGAGCTCGACATTGCAGGTTTAGGGCTGCTTTACCCATAGGCCACGTAGTAGTTCCTTTTTGGGACTACCTTATACAAGTCTAAATATGAACCCCCAAAGGGAACTACTCTGGGGCCTTTGGGTAGGCTCTATGTATTGATCTTTGTATTTCTCAGGGAGGGATTGGGTCTCGTGGTTTATTTGGGGTGGCGGTTGTAGAAACCCCAAAAATACCTAGAGAACCCCAAACCCGAAATCGAATAGGAAGGCACTGCTAACAACGCACGCGGATCTTCAGCCCAATACAAACAATAAGCGCAAATAGTCAGCAATACCCATCGCAAAAGATACATAACGCAAGTTTTGTTGATTAGGATCATCGTAACTATCGTAACAAGGCCGATGCCACCAATGATATCAACAACAACGCTCAACATCATTCATAACAAGAAGAGAACACGGGATCTCATGGCACCCTGACCTCCTCGAAGGTCTCCGGGATGATCGGAGGCTCGGACGGGGAAGCCCTCAGCCAATCTGCCGTCAGAGGTCTCATCCCTCCCCTCACAAGTCCAGACACATACAGTGCAGGTTTTCGGGAATTTCGGGTGTTCTGGTTGTAAGGTTCAATGTCTAGGTGTCAATTAGGGCTTAATGTTTCAGGAGTCTTAGGTTTGCTGTTCTTGCCTTCCGAGCCTTGGGTGATCAGTACACACACACACACACACCCACACACACACACACAAACGCACACCTACACCCACATCCACACCCACACGCGCACGCAGGCGCACATGCCCACGGGCACGCGCTGCCGAACAGGAAAGGGCCAAAAAAACCAAGAGCCTGGAAAGGGTGGGTTCACCCCTAAGGTAAAAGCCAGAAAGTTGGAATATGATTCTCCTAACCCTTCTATGGTAAATTATAGGGTATCCTACCATGAAACCATATTCCAACTTTCTGGAGTTTCCTAGAAACCCCAAAACTCGAAACCCCAAACCCCTAAACCCTGGTTTAGGGGCTTAGGGGCTTCAGGCACCATACTGCACTGCGAAGGAGGGCATCTCTTCGATTCTGAAGGCCCATGTCGAGGTATGGGTTAGGTACTGCCCCCACATACAGTACGTGTCTATAATAGGGCTACTACTCAGGTCCTAATATAACTCTATTATGAAAATATATTCAACTATTACTGAGGGGGTTTCCGTACCCAAGGTATGGGATTTAGCTCTGGGGTTGTGGAACTACTGTTGGTTTCTGAGGAACCCCAGCACTAAACCCGAACTCGAAACCCTAACGGGTGCAATAAAGAGCTTGAGTAGCTAAACCCTGAGGAAAGCATCTGGAGATTCAGCATGAACTGCGCACAGTAGTCATTTCTAAACCCTGATCCTGAAAACCGTTAAAGTAGCCATTACAATTGCCCTGAAACTCACTGCTCTACGGTACCTCCTGTAGTATGACAGGAAAGTTACCCCCCGTGACAACTGGAAGAGGGTTTCGGGGTATACTGCACCCAGACAATAGAAAGACTAGAAGGGAACACAACTGCTAATCACTCCGACTATATATGCCTCTATAGAACCTAGACCCAAGAGTAACCTAGGACCTTTTTGGTTTAAAGGGGCTTCATAAGGGAACCAGAACCCTAAAAAAGGGAATAAGGGCTTACTCTGGGTCCGAGGAACCCAAAACCCTACAGCTGATCCTCGCTCTTGACCTTGGGCCCCCACTCCTCTGGCGCCTCAGGGCAAGTCTGAAAGCTTGGAAGTTCAACTATCATATATGGGGGAATGACAAGATTATGGTCCCGTTTTGGGTACCCTAAATAATACGTGCCGTCTTATATGTGTATATATATATATATACACATATAGAATGCTGAACATAATGTTGCACCACACCGTACATGTATTTGTATGAAAGTTCGATCTGATGTTAGAGGGGGTATGCAGGGAGTCAGGAGTTTAGGTTTCCAGTTTAGAACTTTGGGGGTCAGGGTATTTAGAGCCCTGGGTTTCCGTTTTGGGACTTCGTGCTTTGGATTTAACCCTGCTGCAGGAGCTGGAACGACTGCGAGCCCTTTTTGCATTCACCTTCTCGAAAGAACCCGATAGAACCGTGTAAAGCTCTAGGGTTTCCGAAAACAACCACAGGCCCTAGGAAGTTCAGTATGCCACGATTCTCCTAACCCGCAGTTCTGAACATCAATTCCGCAAAGCCCCAGCTGTCGAAGCATCGATCGTCTCAGCCCTAAACCTGAGCTGATGTGGTGATGCTGGTTATCGGAATTGGGTTTTGGGGTAAAATCATAATGAGTATAAGGAGCCCCAACAATATAACTTGCTGTCCAGGCCCGTAGAGTAGGCGGACCCGAAACGCAAAGCTCTAACTAATCATGCCAAATCCCTTCTCTAAATCCTAAAACCATGAGCGAGCAAAGGGGATGTTTGAGTTTAGGGCTTAGGGTTTTGTGTCTTGAGTTTGGGAACCGGCTCCGCGCATAAACAAAAACGAGAAACCACGCCCATAAACTCATAAACTCTACCGACTGGTGCTGGCCTCTGACACTTCATCACTCTCCTGGCGAAGTCTGCACGTGGAGGTTCATGGGTAGTTACAAGCAAGGTTACAAGTAGGATAACTATAGTCAAAACCCATATTAAGGGACTAACAGCTCCACTTATAAGTACCCATGAACCTCCAAGCAGAGCCGTGTCTTGAGCCCTCATACAAACTACATGTCGGGTGGCCATTCCAGAAAGCTCAAATAACCCTCAGCGGAGGAGAATGCTAGAATCATATGCTATAGAATCATACTCAGAAGCTCTAAATGGCTTAAGAAGAGGCTTCTCTTATGGTCGCATAATCGTCCCCATGACCCCTTCCCCCATTCCCTACTAAGAACCAGACAGGCTTAAAGGGGACCCGGTTTAGGGTTTAGGGATCCCAGAAAAGGGACCAAGAGTAGACCTAGGTAATATAGGGGCCTTAAGAATTAGAACAGGACTACTTGTAAAAGGGGTCTATCAAGACTACTATAAGGGATCTATAAGGGTACTATGATGGGCCTTGATAATTAGACTAGGGTTCTGTGGCCCATTATCTCTACTCCCCTTGGAAGGTAAGCAAAAAACTACTTTTTTCGGAGACCCCTATAAAGAAGACCGGAACCAAAAAAGGAACAAAGTAACAAAGTCTCCAAGAGCCTTAAAGTTATACTATAATTATGTAAGGAACCCCCAAAACTATAGTATGCTGATGACGTACCTCATAAAACATCAGCATCTTTGCCCGACCCAGTACAACTTACACATTATGTAGTACGTGCTATATATTCTAGTTACTGCTTATGTATCATAAAGTATATAGTCTGTGCTAAACCCTAAACCCTAAGCCTCACCAGACCCTAATATAGCATGTATTATACACTACATTGACCAGTCCTCTTCCTCCTCCAAGCTGGCCAGCCACTTCCCGACTTCATCTTCGCCTGCAAGGCGGCTAGAAGCCGAAGACCAGAGCTATGCCGAGCTGCGGCTACGGTTTAGAGTTTAGGGTTTAGCGGTTTCGGGTACAGGGTTTGAATAGGGTGCTGGGTTTCGGGTTTAGGAACCTCAAACTTGAGCTTCTAACGCGGAGTCGAGTGACAAATAACTATGAATTGCCATCTTGGTCTGCGAAATACTCAAAGCCTGCAATTCTCTGCCGAAGACCTGCACTATTTAAAGATGGTGTGATCAACAGGGTAGCCGTTTGGTCTCTCTCTCTCTCTCTCCTGTCTTGTTCTTAGTCGGGAATGGCGGAATCGGTTATGGGCTATGGGGACTACTATTGGGGCCTATATAGGGACTACTACAGGAGTCCATTGCCCCATTCGCTACTAAGCACCCGGGAGTCTCTCTCTCTCTCTCTCTCTCTCCGTCGGCGGCTCCCCACGCATGTCCACGGCCTTGATGCCAAGATTCACGCGACGAAGGTCCGTTCGCACGGCCCATAAAGGAACCCTGAAAGGAACCGAAAAAGAATCCCTGAAAGGAACCCGGGCTGCCTGTGCTCTGCCAGCGCTGCCGTAGCCACCGAGCAAGGAGATGCGACCTAAGAGACACGTAACGGTTTAGAGTTCAGGGGTTTAGGATTCAGAGTTTCACCTAGAGTTTAGGGTTTGTAATTCCTCAACCGGCCTGAGATACACAAAGGCCCTAAGCCCTAAAGCGCCCAGGACGCATGAAGCCTCAAGGAGGGTTTAGGGTTTAGTAAAGACACCAAGCCCTCAACCAGCCTGAGCCCTATCATGACTTGGGAGGCTTTAAGGATTCACGGGTTTGGGGCTTCAAAGATTTCGGAAAAGGAGGATTTTGGCTCCATAGAGCTTCTGGCTTAGATCATATTTGGTTTGAGGGCTTTAGGGTTTAGGGCTTGTGGAATTAGTTACACGAGTTGGAGAAGAAGAAGAAGAAAGAAAAGCAAGCAATGGCACCTTCCAGTTGATGAACAGCAGCAAGAAGTGCAGCAGCATGTGAAGCCAAGCAACATGATCTGATAAGATGTACTATGCTTGAAACAAGGAGACCAAAATGGTATTGGCAATCAATTTACGCCCTGTGTTATACTCAAGATCAAGAACGCAGAACAACCTTGCGTGGTCAATAAGTCCATGACGGTAGCAAGCAACCAGCTGCTGAAACAACGACACCTCTAGACGACGACTTCAACTACAACAGCGGTGGCAGATTCCATCACAAGTCACCTCCTGAACCCGGAAAGGCTTTAGGTTTTCGGGTTGGCGTTGCTGATTGAAGCTGGGCCTTGAGTGCAATATGCCGAAAAATCCTGAGTGCGGACCCATATAAGGCCTTGTTCTAAATTTCTTGCTCTCAAGCATCTCGTTCTCGTTCCTTTTATCTGTATATGGGAGTTTCCGAAATACGGGGTACCTTATTTGGGGCTCCTTATAATAAGGATCCTACTATTGAGGGTACTATATATTCGGGTCCCCCATTTTCGGAAATTCCCATATGTCTCTTTCTGACCCCACCCTGGCCAGGATCGCGACAGATGCAGCGCATTTCCAGCAGAGCCTTGAATACACGTGCCCATCTTCCCCAGCCCAGGGTTTAGGGTTTAGGGTTTAGGGTTTAGGGTTTAGGGTTCCCAGCCCTTGTCCTCGCAGGAAGACTACCACAGTAACCCTAAAGCCCTACCCAAAAGATCTGAATAGTTAGCAACACTGTTATTCGCAACGTGGTCCTTGTTGTAAGAAGTACTACGGTGTTCCTGATTGCGAAGTACAGTGGAAGTATAGCTTGGTTTGCCCGAAGTCCCGATTCTGATACACCTGCCTCCTGCCTCCAAGCAGTTGGGGGTGTAATATAGGGGCCTTCATAATTAAAATAGTGTGTTGGGGCCCATTATACTATAAATACAATAAGGAACCCCCCACAAATACTGCAACATTCAGAAGGTCCGCCTGTAGCCCGGGGTCGGAATGTGGGGCGAGCAGGGCACACTGTAGGATTTCAGGATTTTGGGTTCGGGTTGTATTGTTGAGGCCTTGCACCCTAAACCCTTTAATGCAGGCCTTAATGATTAGAATAGGGTTGCTCTATATACTTAGAATAAGGAACCCTGAGGAATAATAGTGGTAATAATTCTTCAGGCCTCTATAGTACCCCTATCCCGATGATTGTTGGGGATCATGGGTATGCAAGCTTGGATGCGCATGGCTCAGGTTGGGCTTCAAGTTCGGAGTCTTTGTTGGGGCTCTCGGAGAATGCTTTGGGCTCGTCCCCCTGTATCGACGAAAGCCTGAATCCGACCGTGGAGCATGACGCGAATGCAACAACTGGCTCCCCGAACATGCTGCCAAGCACTACCCTAAGCGCAGGAAGACGCTGGCCTTAACTATGAACTAGAATACGGCTTCGGGGTAATATGCCGCTGTATAAGCATGCTAGGGACTAGTCTTTGGCCAAACTTCCAGCCCGGACCCCCGAACTCCGCAACGCAAGACAGACACAACAAACCCTGTAAGTCCTCGGTAAGGACGGTTGGAGGCATCCAAATATTTTATGTTAGAATCAAGAAGCAAGTGCAGCTACTCTACAAATAGTCCCACTTACTAAATCCCCTGGTGCTTCAAGTACGAAACCGACCAACTCGAATCACCCAACAGACGTGCATGTAAAGACAGAAGATTCTAGACTCTAAACCCCATAAATTCCACAACTCCTAAACCCCCCAATCCTTAATCTCAGATCTCAAGCCCTGCGCCACCCCTGGAAAACGCACTGAGCCAAAGGCCCGCCGCAAAAAGGGCATCCCAGCAGGGGAAAGTGAGCCAGGCCCAAATCAGCAGGCCACCGGCCTGTTCTGTCTGGTTCTTAGCAGGGAATGGGGTTCCTTTAAGGGATCCTTTAAAGAGTCCTTTAAGGGTTCTATAATGGGTCTTAGGGCGTCTATAGTCCCTGTCTGGATCTTAGTAGGGAATGGGTTATGGGAACTAGTATTGGCGAGTATACAGGGACTACTATAGGGATCTATTCCCCCATTCCCTACTAGGCACCAGGGAGTCTTGGCGGGTTAACATCCGTCAAACTCGATCCCTGAGTCCTGAGCACCCCAAATGACACCCTGCAACCCTACCTTCCGGAGGGAGGGCTTCTTTCTCAAATTCAAAAATCGCGCATGAGATCTTCATGTGCTCGCGTGACAACATGCCCACCCTAGGCCCTGCAAACTGGCCAGAAGAAGACAGGGCAATAGTCCTGAGTGGAGCCTGACGGATGCCATGGGTTCGCATAAACCTGACATTATGGGGCGCAGTCTCATCAAAAAGATTCCGGTGATCATATCAACTGACAAACCCCAAACCTACCCAAAACACTAAAACCCGCAAACGCCCTAAAGGACCCCTCTCTTCTCGCCCCAAAGGAACCCTAAGGGCCTGCGCCAGCTGCATGCTCCGTTGCCAAGTGCCCTCTCTTCGAAAGCGCCAGAAGCAGTCGATACTGCTGTGGATTCCTTGGGCTTCTAATGTAGGAACCTGATTGAGAAACCTTGGGCCTCTATTAGGGTTCCTTGTAGGAATAACACTACTATTGTGGTGTCATTTTTCATAGGCCCAGGGTTTCTTAATCAGGTTCCTACATTATCGGTCTGGCCCTTGGGGTTCTGGCTTCAACAGCTAGATAACCAAAGAAGCTCTGAGGTCTACGTATATCTATATAATAGCTCGAGATCATCTCGGCGCGCTTATTGGCAGCTTTAGGGTGTAGGATTCAGGGATTTGGGGTCCTGGCTGGAGGAGGCTTGCTGCCTCGAATCTGCAACTTGCACCCTTGATTTGAAAGTAGTTCAAATTCTAAACCCTAAGCCATAAACCCTGCCAGTCCCCAACATGGCTACGATAAGCTGGGCCCCCTTCTGGGTTAGGCCCTCCTTAGCAAGGAAAGGTATGCTCCCAACCATCCCGCCCTTAACAAGACCTTCAGAACAACCCCTCAACTGTACCCTTATTGGGAGTTTCCGAAAATTAGGGGTACCTTGTTTTGGTGTCCTTATAATAAGGATCCTACTATTTAGGGTACTATTTTAGGGTCCCCTATTTTCGGAAGCTCCCTTATGAAACCAATCGAGCACTGCGTAACCCCTGGAAAGCTCTCTCAAAGCACCTTGCCTTCGCCCGAGTCCCACAGGCCCCTTTCGAAAGTACCCGAGGTCCCAGACCCTTATAATGGGAGGCCAAAAGGGGGGTTTAAGATTCTTGGGGTAGGGATTCCTGAATATGAACCCTATTGTGGGAACCCTAATCCCTACTAAACCTATAGGCGAAAACGCTTTTTGGCCTTCTATGACCTTAAGCCCTGAAGCAACGCCGGCTTGCTTTTGCTGAGAGCTCTGGGGTCCCGGCTGTAGTGCAGCTTCCACTCCACGGTCTCCTCTGCGCGTTGGCTTTCAAAACGGTTTAGGGTTTAGGGTTTCAGGGTGTTTTGTCACAGTCCAGCACGGGTCTACACGGGTTCTATAGGTCTTGATAGAGCATTGCAGGCTTTGAAGAAGGTCTTAAGAAGATTCGGTGTTCTTTGTTGGTGGGTCTCTCGGGTCCTATCATTTTGGAGTATGCATTCGGATCAATTAATCTCTGCCGAAGAACTCGGAGCCGCGAAATGGTATGAGGGTTTAGGGCTTTGGGGCTCGGAGTTGTTCGGGCATTCAGGAATAATGAATTTCTGCGTGCATTACAGTCTAGGACTTGAGGCCACGCTACCCTAAACTGAACCCTAAACCCTCAACCCTAAACCCCTAAACCTTAAATCCTATACTCTAAATTATCCTAAACCGTAAATCCTAAACTCTAAACCCTGAACCCTAAATTCTAAACCCCGAACCCTAAATCCTACAGCCACGCCGCGCCAGGAAGGTTTGGGGGAAGCTTCTTTGGGCAGGACCGCGCCCTGCAGGTTGGTATTGCGGGGTGGCTTTCCAATCATATTCACAACAATAATGGTCAGAACAATACTACCCATACCAGAAATAACAAGTAGCTATTTAACAGCCATAATAACAAGAATCATACAAATAAAAATATGAATAGCAATAGTCATATTCATAATGATAACAAGAATAAGTATATGATACTATTTTCAATACTCATAGCAATATATGTATGGGAATAGGGCATTAGGGTTTAAGGTTAGGTGTTTTTAGAACCCTCGGTGCTAAACCAGCACCCACAAAGGCCACGGCAATTGTTTCCAGCTCGTGTCAATTGTTACGGCAATTGTTTAAATGTTTACGACAATTGTTTAATTCTTAGAACAATTGTTACAACAATTGTTTAAATCTTAGAACAATTGTTACAACAATTGTTTAAATCTTAGAACAATTGTTACAACAATTGTTTAATTTCTAGAACAATTGTTACAACAATTGTTTAATTCTTACAACCATTGGTACAACAATTGTTGAATCAGTTTAACCCTTACAACAACTGTTATGACCTCTGCTCACACCGACCTTGATTCCAGCATCAACCCTACAACAATCGTTTACAGGTGTTCCGCTCGCTGTTGAGGTATATGTAGTATATGTCATATGTTATCATGTTAGCTGTTAGCGACTCGAAAAAGTCAGTAACCACTAGTCTTGCCATCCAAGCATGTTGTAGTTAGCTTTTACATCAGCTGCGTTTACTATACTTCACAACTCGCACCCCGTTAATATAGAATAGCTTCTCTAGAACCTATTGCAAACTCCAACCCTCCGCTGAGGCACGGCTTGAGAACCCATTCTCGAAAGTAATCCCCTTACCCTGCCCAGCCCTTGACTCCAGATTTTTGCGCGCAGGAGCAATCTCCAGACGATCTGCGAAGATTAAAAATGTGCGGGCAACATGCGCGATCGGATCAAAAGTGTATGGCTGTACGAGTACGACCGTAGCGCGGAAAGCCCTTACTCCTTGTCTTCCTCTTCCAGCCCACCCGGCCCGAGGCCTCCACTCATCGTCATCAGGGCCTCCATGGCCACTTGCACGGAAGATGCGTTGGACTCCATCTCAGGAGCCCGCAGCCACACGGCCGCCAAAGCTGCCTGAGCGAAAGCCAGGAGGACCGGCAGCGCCATCGCGTTTCCGGCAAGGTCTTGAAGAAAGGCGTCTGAGGGAAACATTTTCTCCTTCGAGGTTGCCTGCGCTGAGGTCACGACATATCCATCTTGATCCAACTTGCCAATGCAGGGCGCGATGGGGAATCCTTGGAGCAACATCGCCTCATATCCGGTGAGTAGGCGATGAGGCTTGGTGAGGGTTGTCCATAAGAGCTGACCCGGCAACATAGTGGGTCCACAATGTGTGCCATCATCCCGCAAGCTCTTGAAATTGATGCGACCGATGCTTTGGGACAGGTTCCTGAAACCAGCATTCGGTGATTCCACCTCTGAAAGCACGAGTGCATCAGACTCACGCTGGGTGAGAACGTGGAAAAATGCATTGGCTTGCAATTCTGGACCCGGCGGTGCGCCCCACCGCACTTGCAACGAGTCTGCGAATTTGAGGTGTTGGTTGACCCAATTGCCAGGGCCTGACTTGCTACTCTTACTCTTGGCCTTCTGGGCACGCGCTTCCCGCTCTGCCAAGCTCTGCTTAACGACTGGGTCGTCGTTTGACAACAGCACTGCAGAAACACAAGGTGGCGAGCGAGTGCAACTGCTGAGGAGCTGGCGAAAAACTTGCATCATGTCGGCAACGGGTCGGCTCAGCAAGCAAAGTTTGGGGCTGCGCTTGTTGACAAGGAACACAAACACTCTGTGGCGATGGCACGGCAGGCCAAACTCACATGCGTCTGTCATGACAGGCTGGCCTTCGTACCCTAGCGACTCGAACTTGCGAAGTAGCACCCTCAGATTGCTTTCTTCAGAGGCACTGGGCTGCTCACTGATGGTATCCACGTTTTCGTAGATAATGCACAGCGGCATGTGAGTTTCGACGTAGCCTAGAAGGCCTTTGAAGGTTTGAGCGGAGCCTCCCCGGCTTGAAGCCTGCTTGAAAACTGAACTCGAGCGATCTGCGTCACTGTTCAGCTTACTAACATCTTTGCAGGAGGTACCTACAACCAGAAGGTCTACTGAAGGGATGTCGCAGCATTTCTTATGCCTGCAGCAGGTTGCTTCCGCTTGAAACAACTCTTGGATATCTGTGAACAAACAATGGCCCTCCTCGTCATCCTCGCCGCCCCAGACTTCTAACGGAGGAGGCCACGAAGAAGTAGAAGAGCCGGGCTCGCGCAAGGGGCCCACTGACAAGATGGCCTGGATCCACTTCTGCTTTTCAGCTGCGCCTGAAATATTACATGTGCAGAGAACAACAGTACATGGAAAATCTTACGCAGCAATGGGGTATGGGCCACCAGTTAAGAAACTCGGGAACAGAAAGGGGCCAAGGCAGCGGAGGTGTATGGTTTGAGGCATTTTAAAGCTTATGTATAGTCTTATCGGAAGTCTTATCGTATAGCTAGACAGCTTCAGGAATAGGATTATGTCTGAACGGCTGAGGCTGAGGCTTATAAGGTTTACATGCCAGAGGCTTATAGGCTTATGGCTTAGGGCTAGGGCATTAGGGCTTACGCTCACGACTTACATAACTTACGCCTGTAAACTCTTAACGTCCTGAAACAGCTCAGGCTAAAACGGTCACACCGAGTTGCTCTCGCAGCTAAAGACGTGCTTCAGCTTCACTGGCACATCCAAAGACGCATAGGCCGCAGTCATTGCTTCTGCTACGTAGTACATCCCCTCTGATCCCGAGCACGCCGTCGCCCACGTCAGCACCATCGGACGCGGAGGATTTGGACTTTGCCCGCAAGACAAAGGTACACCCGGCTGCAAGGCCGCGAACTTGTCCAAATTCTCACGCGCAAGCCGGTGGAGCAAGGTGCCCTCTTGAATGTCCTGAGCTGCCACGACCCGGCGCGAGGCCTCGACCATGAGGACTGCAGGCTCATCGCATGATTCCTTTTTGCTTAGGGTCCGCTGTTTCTTGCGCTCAGACCCGGATTGCATGTCTGCTGGCCTTCGCAACCTGAGTCGGCGGTTTGCGAGGATCGTGGTATGGCACTCGCGGCGCAACAACTGGCTCAAAAAGTTGCACTAGATGCTCTCCGACAATATACCTTGCCTTACTTTGCACTAGGCCTATCAGCCTAAACCCAAACCACCTCTATTGCCGTCAAATAAAATTACGGAAAAGATGACTTCGTGACATAGCGCGAGCACATCCACGGACTGCATCCAATGAGAGCTGGAGTCTCTGCACTCTGTAGAGCAACGTAAGCCTAAAGTTACTACGATTGCAACAATCTGAACCTTCCAAGGCGGCAGTTGGCAAAGAAACACCTAAACACTTTAGGGACACGCCATGCTTCACCATGCGTGCGACGGCAAGTGCAAAGCAAAATACGGACTCAGCTTTTTTTTTGCAGCGCGGCGCGCAGAACTCCAGGACTTGAGATGGTGCTTGTAGGCCCGGCATAAGCATACATAATTGAAAAACTTATAGTTTATAGTTTATAGTTTTGAAGGGTCGGCTGTAAGTCGCATGCGACATAAAACACATAAACTTAGGCGTAAGCTTTTACATACCCGGCTCAAAGCCAAGACCTGCGGGCACCACCTACCCCAAACAAAAGTACAGCGGCACATCAGCCGGAAGTCACAAGTTGAGAGCTCAGAAGCACAAGTGCGAAATGGATCTGCTCTAGCTTGAAGAGACTCAAGGCGCTACTTCTTCACTTTCCCTTTCGCCTTGGCCTTGGCTTCCCTCTTCGGCTTCGGTTCCACCTCCTTGTCCTTGTCCTTGACCTTAGCCGCCTTAGCCGTAGCCGGCTTATCCGGCTTATCCTTCTTCGCCTTACCCTGGCCCTGGCCGGCACCCTTCTTCTTGGGATCATGGGAGTCAGGGTCATCGTCCGAGACCTCCACGTTCTCCACACTCTGGGTCTCTTCTGCCTTCCTTTTTTTGCCCTTGCTGGCCTGCTGCTGTGCCAGCAACGTCTTGGACTCGGCCACGATGCGCTCCCCGAACGACTTCAAATCCTTATCATAGTCATCATTTGCCACCTCGTTCAACTTGCCGAGCTTCCCGACCATCGTCGTCACCACATCGCCAAGCTGCCGCACACTTTCTGGCGAGGGCGAAGGCTTTGATAGATCCGGACCTCGCAGCAAGCAAAGGTTGGCAATCAAGGCCACGACGCAGCCTGCCCGAGCAGCCTGCTTGCTGCCGTTCTCCAGCTCGGGCTGGGCGGCTTGCGATTCCACTTTGAAGCCATCGCAAAGACCGGGGTCAGGGGCCTGGGCTGAAAACCGCAGCTGCACCACAGCCTCTGCCGTGTCCATACTCTCTTGCACTGAAGACAACGCTTGGTCCAACTTGGCCACGAGGCCT